TGGGGATTTATTTACCGCTACAAAACAACTCCACTTTAAGCCTTTTCAAATTCCTTAAACTCAGTATTGACAGTCTGCCTAGCTAATTAAAAATTCACAAGGCATGTATAGAGGAATATCATCTCTTATTAGCAATTCACGGCATCCTCGTATGAGCAGTCTGTGTATAGTAATCCTCAATATTGAGACTTCAATGGGTCATACCACAACGTTAGGATCTAAATATTTCAAGTTCATGAATGAAATAATGAACTCTTTACTACATATATCCACAATAAGGTCATGAGATGAACCAAGGAATGTATATAATCGTTTTGAATATGAACATTACCTTTCGAAACGGAGGAAAAAGATAAATGATCATTAAGAACAGCCGAATTAATGGAATCTAAATTACAAGTTTTAAAAATACTTCAACCAAGATGAACAGTAGTTTTGTATACTGACTGAATTTGTCCTACCTTACCACATTTAAAACATTTAGGATTACGAAATGCACATGAATTACGAGAATGAAATTTGCCACAGGACAAAGATTTATCAAACTTACTCTCACCTTTGTGGTATGCTTTGAGATTCCTTGTTGAATCATATTTCATATTTTCAAAAAAATAAGAATCACTATTAAACGAACGCAAGTTTGATCGATCCTTAGATTGTATTTCATCATGACGACTAAGCTAAGTACTAGAAATGTTCATCCACTGGATATCAAATTCATTCACAGCTAGCATCTTGCAAAGAAAAGTTTTTCATTCTTAATAGCTATTTTTCCAGACCCAGTATGCTAATCCCAGCAATTAATTGAAGTTGATCACCAACATTGCATCTAGCAGCTTGTCTTTGCAATTCAAGGATGAATTCCTTAACCTTTTGGTTATTCTGACAAATCATCTTGCTCTCACGACATTCAAAACTGGAGCACTTTATGTGATTGAATAGTAGTTCCTTAAGATAGACTTTTCTGGATATGTCAAAGCTTTTAATAAACCGTAGGCTTCTTTACAGATGAATGTAAGGAAATGTGTCACAATTTTATCACCCTTCATATCTTTCTTGGTCATTTTCTACATTTCAAAACTTTCCAAATAATCCTTAAAAGCTTCAGAAGTTGAATTAATGTCCAACTCTTCCATCACAGGCTACATCGCGAAGTCAATGTGATGATTTAGAGTATTTGAATTATAGTACAGACTGGGAATCCCAGAAATAACGCAGTTTAACCAAGAAGAACTATATGAGCACGAAAAAACGTATTGTATTTGGAATTCAAAATCAAGTAGTCATCAAGTACAAAGAAATCATTAGTTCATACGAACACCAAACATGCGGATTGTGTTATTTACATTAAGGTAAATGCATTTTCATGGTAGGGATCTTACTTGTAGGAAGTGGTTTAGTTTAATCAACAAAATACTAACAGAAAGTTCTCTAGGCCCTTAACAAAAGGATTGATATCATTGGTGTCGTGAAAACAGACTTACATCACATTGGCAAACAGGACATACTTAACAATTGAAAATAATCGCCCAGGATAGAGTTCGATGGAGAATGCTAGTGGGCAACCTATGCCCTCGACAACACTTCAGCCTTATTATACCTCTATAAACACAACATAGATAAAGCTATTGGACGGAACAGGTATTGTAGTATTTATGCTAATGAACTCAAAACACTGCACTGAACTGTGTCTTGAGGAAATAACTTATTTATTATATAATCTCTAATCTATTCACAAGTGATAGCGAAGACAACCCAATTTCGAATTCGACATTTCCAGAACTTATCACCACTTTACAATCACGTGATTACCGGATGCCGAGATATTCTCTCATCAGAATTGTCTGTCACAGCCAAGTCATCAAGATCTGTGAGATCATTGAAGTGCTGGATCTTCTGAGCTACATTTTTTCTTGCTTCACCGACCGTTTGTAAGATTTCAGATCGATCAAAATGACTCGTAAACTTTGTTTTTGTGAATATGACAATGTCCTATAATCAAGTCGATCATCATAAGAACATTGGATTTTTCCACTAGAATAATGACTCGTGTGTGTTCGGGATAGGTGACGATGTCACAGGATCAATGAATATGAGACTAAAAACTGCACTGACAAGAACTTATCCTGCAGCAAAATTGATTGTCCTGTTCAAAACAACATGTTCTTAGACACAATCAAAGGTCGACAGGTATCCTTTTCATGTTACCACCAACTGTGTATACAAATTCACATGTATCTGCCAAAGCAGTTACATTGGTAGAACAGAAAGGAGAGCCTACGTCCGATTCAAAGAACATATTCCGAAAAGTGTAACACCAAATGGATTGAAAGCATTCAACAGTGCCATCTCAAGATATCTCCTTGACACAGGACATGAAGTTGATATACTGAGGTGCTTCAAGATGATTAACAAACAATCAAACTCCAACCTCCTGAAATTTGCCGAAGCAATGGCAATCAAACGTCTAAAACCAGATTTATGTATACAAAAAGAGACAGTGATAAATCTTTCTTTATCCTGGTAACAATAACCCCCTTTTTTATTCATTTATTTATTGCGTCATTACACCGTATAAGCCGTATTCTGACTAGCAAGTAAATCATGTGACATTTAACCGGACAAAAAGTCCCAACATGAAATCCGAAGTAAATTTACTGTTTCCTTATCTTTTCATGTTATATCCACTAAAATTTCGCAACTCCAGTTCTGTATAAAACACCCAGTTAGAATAAAAGATACATAATTACTTGAGAATCAGCAGGAATATTCCTAACATAATATAGTGATAATTATTTCCGATAGAATCAAGGCAGTCAATAGACATTTTGGGAACTAGAACCGTTATGGAGAGACTGAAACGAAGTCTGTTAATCGGTAATTTGTTAGATGGTATCAACATTAGTGTTGTGACTTTATGTCCGGCAATTATCACGTGATTTATCCACCAATCAGAATACGGCTTATACAATCTTAGTACTGTCCCAAAACCAATGACGTTCGACCGGTATGGGCAGCCTAGCGTCTTATTTGGTCCTGTGTCGACCTAGCCCATCCACTTGAGTTCAGAACACTAATACCAGCTTCCACTATGCGAATCGAATAATTTATTTCACACACACTGGATTTATATATCAAACAAACAGATCGCAACGCACCATAAATTAGGAAATAACACTGTACACAACAAAGCCAAAGAGTGGCTGTGAACGTGGGAGGCAGTAGCCAACAAACTTAACATAGCTTAAGAACAGTAAGTCAAAATAATAAGAGGAATATAAGTATATATAATCTAATTATTGAATAGTTATACCATAAGAATGTATAGATAATATTTGTCAATTAATATGTCTCAGAAGTTACTCATGATTTAATCTTCGCTCGGATATAACAATTAGTACTTTCGTTTTAGTTCATTCTAATGAAACTTGATAGTTTCACCAATAAATCATTATTCATTATGCCTAACTTGAGCTTGAAACGTAGTCTACACACAATAATTACATTTTAATATAACATTAAGTTCTAAAATCAAATGTTTCCCAACAGTTTGACAAGTCAGAAATCACATATTGTTTAAACATTAATTAATTAACAAACAATCGGTCGTGATCATGTCAAAGGAATGAACTATTTCATGAAACTTAAGAATATAATAACATTAAGGATGATAGTTGTGACTATATCAGGTAGTTAGCTAGGTAAAGGAAATTAGATCAAAGAAGGACAAACGATCACCTGATATTTTATTGTGAATTAATTCTATTCAATAAAATATAATTAGTTGATACAATCTTTTTTTTTTTAAATCGTAGACTCCAATAATTTACGGGATATTCCACTTTAATAACTACTGTTTTATGACTTTGTTTTAACCAAATAATAATAATAGTAATTCGATTTCGTTATTTTCGCGGAAAAAATTGACTTTTAAAAACTCATTTCAAACGATGCTTAATATAATTTTTTTTAACCAACTGAATCAGAATAAACAATACTTTATAGAATAGAGATTTCTATATATATAACAGTCATTGTAAATTTGAGTAGTTTGACAACTTTTGAATTGCTATTCGGTTAACAATATTAAAAATTACTTATAAACTGATTTTTCGAAGCTAATGTTTTTAATAGACCAACAAGTGTTTCGATGGTTAATATCATGAGTCAGTTGAAGCTAGATCACCATGGAAAACCTAGAAGCACTGGACGGCCGTTTCGTCCTAGTATGGGACTCCTCAGCAGTGCGCATCCACGATCAACCAGGTCTGTTGTGAGATAGTAACTCACTGAAGACAATGGTGTACGGTGGCGCAACTTCGTGGATTGGTTGAAGTTAGATATTAACACCGTCAGATGTCGGCTGGCTCAGTGGTCTAGTTGGTTAATCGCCTGGCGAGAGACTGATAGGTCCTGAGTTGGAATCCCGCGGGGTGCGGGATCGTCAATGCACACTGCTGAGGAGTCCCATACTAGGACGAAACGGACGTCCAGTGATCCTAGGTTTTCCATGGTGGTCTAGCTTCAATTGATTCATGAGTTCAACAAGTGAAATTTCTAAAAATCTCCACAAAACCCATTCTGATGAAAAACTAATTGAAAAGAAATCTCTTCGCTCGATTCATTCCTTCTTTATTATTCACCAAATTTCAAAATGGGAATTTTCACTATATTAAAATTTATATAATCGAAGCTTATATCTAAAGAAAAGAAATTGAATCAATGTAAGAAAGATTCAATGCACTTAAAATTTATATTATTATTTACATAAATAACAAATCAAATGGGAATATTCCAAACAAAAACAAAGTACATTTAATTATCTAATCATCAATATACACATTTAAGGCCCAGGACAGAGTGAGTTGGGTGAATGCTAGTCGGCGGCCTATGCTCCATTAGGAGTAGCAGCCATAAGTAAGTAATATACACACTTACATTAATTTGGTCATATTTCTATTCTCAATAGTTTTTTTCATTATATCAATTTAATTACTGTACTATTTTTCATATTCATTATTGAATTCTTTATTATTTTCCCATAAATCTTTAATATTTTTCATATATAATTGATGATTTGGCTTAACAACAGTTTTATCATCATTATTATTATTTCTATTATTAATAATAATCAGTGAATATGGATGAGAACGCCAAAAATTATTTTCTTTAAGAAAATTAATTACTTTCATCATTTTCTCATATGATGGTATTTTAAGATTATTATTATTACTATGTATAATTGCATTCAATACAACCGCTTCTGAATGGATCCAATCAATAATTTCATCCAATGATCTGTATTCTCTTTCCATATTGTTTTACAAATTGAGTTCCAATAAAATTTTTCTATTAAACTATCTATTGTATTCATTAGATCTTTTAATATTTAATTATTTAAATGAATAGATTAATTGAATATATTTAATTGATTATTGACTGATTTCAAATAAATCAATAAATGTATCTTTTTTGGAATTGTATAATATTGATTTATTATTCTATTAGTAATAAGTATAATTGGAATCTGATGTGAACAGAGAAATAAGAAGCTTTGACAAGATATGAGAGCTATTTTTCATGAAGTTATTTCATTTAATTCAAAGCTTGTAAAACACTGAACTCCGCCTGAATGGTTTTTGTTCAAAAAAAGAAGCTGAGCAGCTCCAGAGGTATCAGAAAACCTACGCCTAGATCCAACACGAATTCGTTGAATCTAATAGAAAGCTATCAGAACTCAATCCCAGGTCAGAGGATATTTATCACCATTAATATTAATGGGCACCCGCTTAGATTGCAAATAGACGCTGCGTATGATGTAACAATTCTTATACGAAAATATTGGATCAGAATGGGAAGATCACGCATGGTGCCAACACAAAACATTGACATTTATTTTTGTCCCTAGTCTGTTCTACAGATCATAAGCTTTCGTTTGATATGTGATTCACTGCCATAGTCTTTTCTAATTTAAACGTAATATTTTGTACTCTATTTTCTACGCTAATCGCCAGTTTTGGACATAATTGTATTTTCTTAATTGGTGTGCGCGTTGTGGTCAGGTTAGTCATCTATTTATTCATGAATCTGAAATCGGGAACCAGATCGGAATTGGAAATAGACTTGTGTTCTCTCACTTGCATGCTTGTCAGCCAATCAGGCGACGGAATAGTCTCTTTATCACAAGCAGTTGGTCTCGCTTCGAACTCACGCATACAAGCCTCAAGGTTAAGCCAGTCAACCTAACGCGTCAAGGTCTTATTCTAGATTAGACAAGTTATCTTCTGCACAAAAGTGGGTAGACAGATCAAGGATGTAACCGAAACTAAGCATATTTTTTTAGAAAGATCACCCTTAGCCAACCTATCGAGTTTAAATGTCAGATGTAGTCAATTCTTATTCTACTTTACAGAAGCACCAACGTTTCATTATAAATTTAATGAAAACTTCAAAGATAATAAATTTTGTGTAGCGTAGAACTATAACTTTTGAAACGTTTGAAAGAAAATATAGTTAGAAATTTATTAAGTCCTATGTAGTAGGATAATTGAGGAGATAAATCATTGAGCAGAAGCTACTAATGTAACGAACGAGAACACAAGTAGAAACAAATGAATGTATTTGAATACAAAATTACAGAACATCTTGGTAAAATCTGAGAACCATACAGTAAATACTTTATTTGAAAAATGTCAATCAACTGTCTCAGATTTCATTGTTCCTTCATTTCCGCAGCAATCATACTCTGTTCTCGTTCTCTTTCCTTTGATCTTATTAACCTTCTGCCGCCAGGCATTTCACTTTCGATTGATGATACATACTACTTATGTCTATCAACGTCAGTAGCGGTGTTGGCTATAGCGGGTGCTGTCGAGGAAGAGGAGCGATGGGACTTCCGGCTGCTGAGCGGACATTGGATGTAGCTGGCTTAGTAAGTCGTTGGAGAGCAGGCGTTGAACGTGCCGGGTGATGGGTGTACGTCGGATCTTGATGTCCCGGCAGGTTGGTGCGCCACAGGCTTGTGGAACCACCGCAAGAACGACTTCTTTAAAGGAGGGACAAGTATGGCGTGTGCTACTGACGCCGATATATATAAGTAGTATGCACCATCAATCGGAAGTGAAGTACCTGGCAGCAGAAGGTTAATAAGATCGAAGAAAAACGAACTAGAACAGAGTATGATTGCTGCGAAAATGAAGAAACAGTCAAGTTTGAGACGACGGATTGATATTTTTCAAATTATCTATTTACTGGATGGTTCTCAGATTCTACTAAGGTGTTCTGTAACTTTGTATTCAAATACATTCGTTTATCTCTACTTGTATTTCCTTTCAATACACTAACACTCAAAAGTATACTGGAACATTATTTATTATCAGTAGAACGTAAATAAAAAATGTGTAGGTCTTTTAACGTATGAAAATGTTTTTTTTAAAGTTATCTGGATGTGTAATTATTTTGTAAGTGTAAGGACGGATGACTTCATGGGTGTGATTGTCATGGAAAAAGGTATTTATCAGATATCGAAAATATGCACTCACATTGAAGAACATAATTTTTATGCCCTTGAGAATAACTTAAGTTAATTAAAACATTAAAAAAAACATTCGTACTCTATAACACAGAGAAAGTTGTATCTTTCCATAAATATAGGATTACTTAAAGGATTAAGGTGAGAAAGTTACATTTGTTTATAAGTTAATTTATCATAAATTTAAATATTACTAACCAATAACACATGCATAAAATAAACCGAGTGTATGAAACATAATGGCTTAAACTAATGAAACTGTGCGAACTCAGAACACCGAAAATGTACATATGTATTAAATAATTTTAAGTGAATGTAATTGCTTTTGGATGTATATATCAGAATACATAAATTATGATATTTAGCAAAATTCCATATGATCTCTAGTAACACTCACTAATGAGTTGCATAATAGGCCGGGACAGTTTCCTACTATTCTCTAGTTATGAATAATTGCCTAACTGATAGCTATCTTTAAAGTGTACAAGTTAATCCACTATACACTAAAATTATTCGAATTAGTAGCAATACGGAATGTAATATACGAACTAGTAATTTGAAAGTCTATACAAAACACACTATTACCATGAATGGATTAGCGCCCAAGTAAGAAATAAGAACGTGGAATAGGAAAAACGCACACAATATATAAACCAATCATCACTATATAAAAACATTGCATACATTTAAGTAAACAATAAAGGATTTTCTATGTAATTTTTCTTGTGAAGTGACGTTGGCAAATAGTCGTGCAAAGTTCTTGAGGGCAAATATATGCACATTTTGATATCAATTTAGCATGCTGTTCAAACCATATTATTTTCATATTGAAAATTTAACATTGAGTGTTTTATATGAAAAGATGGATTGTGGGTAGCAGTGGAAACCAGGACGCATGTTTCGTCCTATTTGAGACTCGTCAGCTGGATAAACCTACATCTCAGAGTTGATGTTCACTCCGAGACTCAAACCCAGTACCGTTCGCTTCAAATGCCATCGCATTATCCACTTAGCTACTGAGTCCTGATAGCCACCTGCTTGTGCAATGTAGTGGATATTAAATTCACTTGGTATAATTTGCTTGTATCTTCCCATTGTTGTCTAGGACTGCAATTGATCAGTCTCTTGTTGGCATATGTGCATCCTGTGCGGACTGCCTCGAGATTGCCTTAAGCCACAAGCTTTATAAGCAAAGAGACTGATCAATTGAAGACCTTAACAACAAATGGGAAGATACAAGCAAATAATACCAAATGAATTGAGTATTTTATTCTAATGTTTATCAAACCGATCTTTTGTAGCAGATAAATTTAAATTTCCAGTGTTAATGATTTTAGATTGTGATCAATCAGAGTATTAGGAATTTAGTTGTTTGATTGAATTATTTGAAACAGTTAATATCAAACAAAGCTATTCTATTCATAGTTTAATTCCCAACGGTTTCGATTATCCCATTGTTCATATTTTGACTGATAGTTGATCATTCTTTGTTGGTATATGTGAGGATTGCATCGATATAGCCATTTTGACACTAGTTTATGCAGAATAGATTAAATGTGGACAATCGATCAAATTATACTCAAAATATCAACAGTGGGAAAATCCAAATTTAATTAAAAATTTATACACGTCACATAAATGATAAGCTACCAATATTCGGTAGCTAAATGAGTAACGCGTTGTTTTTGCAGTGGGAGGTACTTAGTTAGTTTCGGAGAGTGAACAGTTCTGGTACGATTTAGGTACTCAACTGACGATTCTCGAAGAGGACGAAAGGTGCGCCACGAATTCCATTGCTAGCCACATTCCACCTAATCTGAATATCCGTTTATATTCGGAAAACTGAGAGTACAAATAAGTAGATGGATTTATTCATTGCAGTTAATTTGAAATATTACTGATTAGGAAGTAGTTTTGATTGACGAGAGATAAATTATCAGTGATTTGACTGTTTTATCACATCATCTATAAAATAGGCGGCATGCTTGAATATCTGGGCTACCTGTTCCTGCCATCTAGATATTTCAAACAGTAATCTGTCTTTTGTTTGTTTCAACAGATCATTATATCAATTAATTGCATAACCTATTCAAGTGCGTTTGTGGAAAATTCACGACCTTTCGCTGTACAAGTTAGGAATGAGCTAAATCAGAGATATTGTGGTTGTTGGCAATATACATCGAGAAGAATGTACATTATTAAGATATCGATTCCTGAGCTGCCAACTTCTTACTGGCGAAGACTAATTATTTATTATCAGGATCGACCAAGAAATATGAAACGGAAACTTCTTGAAATAATTTGCGATGAGAAGTTCATATTGTACCAAAAATATAATATTGAATAAAGCTAATAATAATAATCTTTACAAACAGTATGATCAGAACCGAAGTGTCGATAAAACTATCAAAGTTTAAAGAAGTATCATGTAACAGACGCCACTTAGTAGGCAACAGTCAAGTATAACTTCATCTCTCCTTATCATAATAAAACCACAACCTTGGTTTTTAATTTTGTCCTTACTTTTTCTCTATAAATTAGATATGTAGTGAAGGAGAACACATGTGAGGACAACCGAATTGTACTAAGCACAAAATTACAGTTACTTGGTAAAATAGAAAAACCATACAGTAAATCGTTAATTTGCAAAATATCAATGCATCATATCAACCTGAACTGTTCTTGTTGCAAACATCAATCAAGTGTCTCACATTTCATTGTTCAAGCATTTTCTTACAAATTGCGTTTTGTTGTCGTTCTTCCTTTCTTGATCTTTCCCCATCTTGTGTTGCCAGACATTGCGTTTTTAACTCGCGTCATATACTACTTACATAGATATAAGTAGCACGCACCACAGATATATTATTTCACCAAATTTATATTGCAGTGATTTAAATTCGTAGATAAATGTGAAGTCGCGAAAATATTTTATCTTTAATTTGTGAATCCTACCTCTTCTATTATGACGACTTAGATTACGAGGTAAACAAATATAAATGTAAGCCAAAAATATTGAATTGGTCAAGTGTCATTACTAATTAGTGGGATGGAACCTCATTGTAGTCAATATTATCGCTGAACAACTTGTCTATTTCATCAGTATCTTAATTGTTGTAAGATTTCGAAATGATGAAAAGAAAACATTAGTTTGTTTGTTGGGAACAGGATATCTGATATGGTTGAGTTACTACACAGTTGTGGTTAATGTGTATGATAAGTTAAAAGGACGTGTATATCATGAAAAGATGTAAGTTAGGAATTACTTTAAGATTGTGAAGACTAATCAACTGTCTTACAGAGATAATATATTTAATTTTTACCAACTTGGATGTATTATGTGTGACTTTCTTTGGTAATTGAAAAAAGTATCAACAAAACGCTAACCGTGAATACAATTTTGTGATAATTACTGGTTTCCAAATTGCAGTAAGACGAATCATACACATTACGGATGTTGTTTTTACAAACTATGAATATTAGATAGTTGGTATATGGGATTTATTAACTAAATGAAATGATTAATTTAATCACTGTTAATACAAACAATTGTTGAGTTTATGGTGCTGAACTGAAGTAAATCGTACTAGAATCGAGAAGAAATTTACACATTATCGAATAACGAAATAGAGATCAAAACTTACATGTGATTGGGATTTAAGTTTTACTATGACTGATTAAATATGGTTAGTGACTGACCCCCCATTACTAAACCTATGAAGGGATAAATTTGAAAGACATGACTAGTTTACATAATACTTACGGAATGATTGTCACCTCAAAGCTCCTCCGGAACTCTTTATTTATTTATTTATTTATTCAAACACATAAACATAGGTACAAGAAGGCATCAAATATGTCCAAAAATCCAGTCAAAACGCCGGACATTCGCTCTTCATCCTCTCAATTTCATAAACAACACCCCAGCCGCGAGAAGGCAGTGAGTAGGATTTCCCTCACAGTGGTTGTGTGCGCGTGGCTATGTGAGAGCATTTCGAGAGTAAGAGTTGACTCTCCCCCACTCTCGACCGTACCAGGGCATTTGGGGGCTGGAACTCTTATCATTTAACCATTGCAACAAGATCTAGTGAACTACTCAACACAGTTTATCGTTATTGACCTGATCAATAAATGTGTAGTATGCAAACCACGAATTCAAATTATCATTTCGAGTAATTTTCTTCCAGGTGACACCATTTTCACTCTATAATGTCGGATTCTAATATCTATTTTAATATTTAACAACCGCTGAACTATAGACCAATTTTGCTATTGTTATTTCGCATTATTTAAAGGATCCTCTCTATTGATGCTGCTAAACTGGAACACGGTTAAATGAATAATTCAACAGGGTGTAAATTATCTTATGATGCTCATTATCAAAATAAGTGTACATATTTTAGATGGATGGATAAAAAGAAATCAGTAGTAAATACACAAAAAAAAAAAGAAACAGAACATAGAAAAAGAGGGAAACAAAAAATCATTAACAATTAAGGTACGAAATACAAAGTTATATATATATATATTGGCAAAATACTTTCTAGTATTATTTCCATGTAAATTATTGATTACAAGTGGTTTTGAATATCCAAGAGTTTTCATACCATGTGAAGTATTTGACTGGGAAAGCGAATTTATACAATGCTCGATATTTCTCACTTAAACGTTGTCGCTCTTCAAGCTAGAGAGTGATGTATCCAAAATAATGAAAAAACAACAACAACAGAATAGACTGATTGCGTGAATTCATTGACTATGAACTATGATGATATAATAAATCAAACAACATTTATATCATTGTTAGTAAGACTGGAATTGCTTGTAATTGTGTGGAATAAAGTATTGTCTGGTCTAAACTCTAGTTCGTCAATCGTCGTTTTTTTGGTCGTCAATCGTGCATCTGTTATAACGTGATCTAGTCACTGAACAATATGTCAAACAAATATCTAGACTAGCGGTAGCATATTATTGATCATTATTCTTACTAATGGTATTATAGTCAAAAACATTGAGTTTTCGATAATCGATCTGCCACCAGGAAGTTTACTAATTGACGCAGATGACATAGTCCTGTTTGGTGAAGACAATGATAAAATACAGTCTTTTGGTAGCACTGAGCAACAACTTCAGGATGCATGGGATACACTTCTACCCCTCTAAATGCGAATTGCTTCTTCAGGACTGGTTTACATCAACACCTGAACTAAGGATAGGGAGTGAAATAGTCGAACGCGTTGACACCTTCACTTATCTTGGAAGTCTGATCAGCCCTAAAGGGTTGTTGTCTGACGAAATCTCAGCACGGATTCAAAAAGCTCATTCGGCTTTTGCCAACTTACGTCACCTATGGCGAAGGCGAGATATCCGTCTATCAATAAAAGGACGAGTATACCGTGCGGCAGTTCGTTCTGTTCTACTTTACGGCTGCGAAACGTGGCCACTAAGAGTAGAAGATACACGTAAGCAACTAGTATTTGACCGCAAATGCCTTAGAAATATTCATAGCATCTGCTGGGATCACTGGGTAAGTAATAGTGAAGTTAGACGTAGGGTATTAGGGAATGATGGTAAATCAGTTGGTGAGGTTGTGAATCTTCATCGACTGAGATGGTTGGGTCACGCGTTGCGTATGCCCGAACACCAATTACCACGACGTGCAATGCTGACTAGTGTCGCGGAAGGATCGAAGAAAGATAGGGGTGGCCAAACCAAAACGTGGCATCAGTGCTTGAAGTCACTAACTACTGATCTGAGCCATATTGATAGATGCATACTACTTGGTTGGGGTCCGTGCGACTATCGTAACCAATGGTTGGAGACTCTGGGTGACATGACTCAGAATCGACCCCAATCGCGTAGGTGTATACACTCTTCGTCTTCCCCTAAACGGTGAGATAAAAATCACTTTATACCGTTTTTTCTCCCTATAGCACATCCCTAAATAAAATCTTTTTTTACTACCATTGAAGTAACTGCTTCTATGAATTTGGTGTTCATCTTGTTGTGCTAATGAGGTATGACAACTTGGCTTGATGTATATATGTGCCTGGTTCTACACTGTAGACGACTGACTGACTGAGTATAATAAACTATTGTGAAAATGAGAGAATAATTTTAATTCATCGATTATATCATTTCTTATTTTGTTAAACGCTCCAGTTTTCAACTTACATTATTTCTACTAGTACGAGACTTAGGTCTAAGGGTTTCCTTGCTGATCACCATCAACGACTTAATAAAGTAAAAATAACTATTTGCTCAGTATTTGTTTGATCAAATGGGATTTATTATCAAGCACGAAAACAATCAATCCCTTATTTAGTTATAAACAAATATGAACATCATTTATGATTTGTAACATCACACAAAGAAATCATTTGAAAAGTACGAGGGTGGTAATTTATTTATAGCAACAGAAACAATAAAATAGAATGATACGAAATGATGCAAACTAAACTTTTTACTACAGATTCAATCATATGATTTTACTAGTCTTTATAGATAATCTGTTGGATAGAAATACAACGAATTCAGTTATTTAAGATAATTTTAACATATATCATAGGTATTGAATAACTTTTAAAATTAAACATAGTAGCATTTCCGCTAGCTTAATAACTGTTTGAATTTTTATATCATAGATTGAGTTTCGTTAGACAACACTTGAGATTTAAGAAGCTTTAAACAACTGTTTCGTCCACATATGGGACAATTTGGAAGTGCAAAAATATGAGCTCGTGAACAATACAACTCATGATCTTCAGGTCTAGCATATAGCGCTCATCCTTTAGATCACTGAGTTGGTATCCAACAAATTACAACATTAACTTTAGATGATTTGCAAAATTATGCAACTGTCATCCACTAACATTGATATTATTTGTCTCAGGCTAATATTATTACAGAAATTAATTGACTGTATAACTTAGATGACGTAGAAACATTAATGCATACTAGTTGGTTTAAAGTAATTTTAAAAAAAGAGACTAGACAATGAATTGAACACAGAACTAAAGACTAAACAATAACTAAACGTACTTCTTGTTTTTTCTCTGTAGCCAAATTAAAATTTTTTAATTGTAAAGCTTTAGTAACATTTTGCCATAAACGACGAGATTCTTCTGGTTGTTGATATTCAATAGGACGTATATGTTTTGAGAAAACAGGCAATTGATTGACATTCACTGACCATTTATTTAAATTCTAAAAAAAAGGATAAACAATTCAGTAGTAAATTCAGTAGTAGAATTAGTTTTTTTAAAAAAAGAAAAATATTGTGAAAATAAAAATTATAGTTACACTAAACAGTTTTTACTGTTTAAAGGAAAACGGATAAGATTAAAATGTTCGAACAAAACACACACACACACACACTAGAATGAAATTAGCAAATGACCTAATTTATAAGCAATTTTCAAATAGAATTATTTAAATTATCTTTTTTGTGATTAAAACATTAATCTACCATTGTTCTAGTTGAATGAAGATGTTTGTCATGAATAAATGATGTGGAATATTCCATATTTTGTATATAAAAATAATATTTTTATTTAAACACATAAACATTGATACAAGGAAGCACCAAATACATATACGTCACATAAATCAATCTGTTTATGTGAGGGTTGGGTTACTACCTGGGTATCCAAACCGAAGCAGGTGGTTTTCGCAGGAGGCCACTCCCCGAGCCTTCGACCAAAAGGTCTGACCCACAATACAGTGAGACAACGTAAGGAAATGTAGTCTCATGATAGCCGGTGACCAACAATTCGTTCGTACGCTATTTATTTCCTTAGGATCCTGGAACCCACGTACACGATTGGTTTGAAGTCAGGGTTTTCCAATTACTCTAGGTGGACTCTTCGTGTCCACTGACCCGGTTAAAGCGCCGGACATTCACTTTTCGTTCTCTCAATTTCGTAAACAGCACCCCCGGCACGAGAAGGCAGTGAGTAGGATTTCCATGGCAGTGGTTGTATGCACGCGGCCATGTGAGGGCATTTCGAGAGGGGGAGATGACTCTCCCCACTCTCGGCCGTACTAGGGTATTCTCATGATAGAAATCATTAGAACAGTTATACTGTTCAATTAAATAATTTGTAAATATATTACGTAGCAAAATGTATTTCACGCTGATGAATCGTAAACTTATTGTACTAATCATTAGTAGTATTACTTGCTTCGATTAAAACCGGATTCGATTAGAAAATCAAAATGATATAACCCTCTAAAGTAATATATCATATCTTATAAATATATACGGTCCTTGTACGTCTCTGAATTAACTGATAGAGTGGAACTGAATAGATCACAAAAACACGCAGTTATACATGGTAGGTGATATGCATGTACGGAGGAACCATAGTTAGTGAATTATTCACCCAGTCAAGATCATTTCAAACATGTTCTTGTAAGTGTCGGTTTGACCAGTTATAAAAAAATCACGTCAAATGTAAGCAGCTCATTCGGCTTCAATTTCTTGCATATTGTTTGTTTGTTTTCTTCGTAAGTTAGGTTAGTTGAGTGTAGAAAGTAAGCGGTAATAATGATAATAAACAATCAAGCAAAAAAGCGTTAGAAACCACTAACTTTAATTTTACCTTATTAAAAACTTCAAAATTGATAATATTATTCCATTCACCAGAAATACGTGCAATTAAATGATTGCTATTTCCAACTGAACTTAATGGTGATGACCCAGGCCCTTTGGCTGAACGATCAGATGAAGTTGGAGAAATACTGTGTGTATGTAAATTTCTCCAGTGATACAATGTAGTTTATCTTCATAATGTGGCTATTGTTTATCAAAATAATAGTATACAAAAATGAATTAGTGCTAACTAAGAACTAAGGTTTCATTAATAGGTTTAATTTTAATTAGAAAATACTATACTTTTATTACCATACTATATTCCACAGAACAGATAATAGTGTAGTATTTTGATCATACTTTGAATGTGTGAATATAGTACAAAATCATTCATAGCAATAGAGAAGATCCATTCACTCTTTATTTTCTGCTAAGTCTTCAGCTTCAATATTATTTTCAAATAACAATAAAAGATCTATTGTGTCACTGAAGAAGGACAGAGATAATTTATTGACGAAACGTTTGTGTTTTTGAAGATTTCATTAGCTCAAGCTGTACAATTGTATTTATTTGCTAAAAATAGTAGTCTTTAATAATAAAATGGTGTCAGATCTTGAAAAGAAACTATGTAATAGCCTAAGCGAATAATGAAGAATACCAAGGTTAAGATAATTATCCATCTAATAAAAGAAATTGAGAACAGATTAATTCAAAATTCTAATAATGGTTTGAATTGACTATAATTATAGCTAATCACCAATTCAAACCTGACCTTTATGTACAAACTATAGAGTGTTCAATTTATCATACCATCTATTTTTATCTTTCATTATCTATTGGCTTTTTTCTCAATCCTTTCCAATTATTCTCCACAACTATTAATTATCATCAGAATGGGGGTTTGTGGAGATTGTAGTCATTTTGTTAGCTAAATTCACTAATTGATTTGAGCTACTGAGGAGTCCTATACTAGGACGAAAAGACCGTCCAGTGCCTCCATGTTTTCAATGGTAATCTAGCTTAAATCAACTCATGAATTCAACTATTAAATCTTTTAATTATTAATCATTATTACGACTTTTAGTGGTTCTGTTTTCAATATTTATCAAGTGAACAATTATCTTCATATTGACATTTTTTATTAACTGTTAGATTACTACAAAACTTCGTTTCAATATCTGACTTTTGTGGACAATTTACGTGACACGATACCGTTCCAATTTTCCCCTAATTATTCAACACCATTCTTTGTTACTATAGACTACTATTTTTTTAGCAAACGAATTGACTATAAATACAAATGTACAGTTTCAGTTAATGAAATCGTTGGAAAGAACATTATCTTCCCTGTGTTCTCTATATTTTTCTTCAGTATCATTCGGTATTTTTTTATTTGTTAAATTCATTTCTTCTCTGAAAAGTATTTTCAAACACTTAGTCACCTTCACTTTCAATGATGGTGCCGTTACTTTTAGTCTCTCACTAATCATTTTGTCGTGGTAAGGCAACTTTAGTTGACCAATATTTCTATCAGGTTCTCTATTAGTTATGAGTAATGGAGTGAAGTGGATTCATAATGTATAAGACACAGTGTAAATAGACTTTGAATAAGACACTTGTCTTGTATAGATTAATAATGTGCAATAATCCTGAGGAAGTATAAACATCTAATTGAGTGATGTGAATAAGTCACATACTGTAAATATTCATGAGAACAGCCAAGATAATTTTGTATTTATTGAATACATGAAAATCCTATAGAATGGATAGAAACTAAGGTCAACAAATGGGCATAGAATAAAGGCAAGTATCTAATAATTATGGATCACTAGGGTTACAATAAAATATTGTTGAGAATCTGAGACGAAAGGAAAGTACAAACCAACGACAAGGAACATCTTACAATGTAAACATTAAATGATTTAGAAGTTATCTCATATATACTAAGTGGATATTCATTCCAGTAACAAAAACCACTCCTGAACACTAGGAAATACAAAGGAGGTACATTTGATATTTTCTCAAAACTAAATACAATCCGTTGATGACCCTAAGTATCGAGAAAGATTTGATGCTTCAAACGATCGTAATTTTGCATTCCTTGAAATTCACTAATACTACTACTACTACGACTACTACAGCTTTCTCCGTTGAAAAATTCGACATCATTCTAGTAGACTTTACTTCTGAAGTTTTGTAAACGCAACGACATGTCGTATCGTTTAATTGATAATTCATATTCATGAATGCGTAAATACTTGGGGAGAATGCTTTAACTACTGTAATGGTTGTTGTAGTTGGTGCAATTTACCGCGTAAAAGATGTTAGATTCATCTCATTTAATTGTTCAGTCCTTCCAGGTTCTGGACTGAAAAACCATCGTAAACTATGGAGAACTGGATGACTATTTAAACTTATTTCCACAACACTCCAGTTTTGCTCATCCATAAAGCCAGGCGCATGAGATCAAACCAAGAACATTCATATCTTGTGAACACGAAAACACTGAACCAGTGAGTCGAAATTCAGTCTACAAACACATGGCGGTTTGCTTAAACTTCTGGAACACCAGTTCCAAACATCGATTTATCACCATCAGTTTTTCTATAAACCATGTAAACTTCGGCACTTTTACAAGATGCTTACAGCCTATTGTAAATCTAATTACTAAGAAACTCAAGCAGCACCTCCGCGATGGTTCGTGTATTTCCCTACTCTATCGTTTGGCAAAACGAGAGGCGATTTCTACAGAATTCATACACCAAATATATTCAGTGATGGAAAAAGATGTCATAAAAGCAGAAAGACTGATCAATGACACTTGCAGATGAATGTGAATGACAGCTAATCTTTGTTTAAAAACTTTCTAGATATACTTTTCAGATATTTACAGGTTGAATGCTCATCAGACAGAAAGTTTGTTTTAATTTCGTATATGTGCTGATAATGACTTACTGTAACCAAACAAACAGTACTGATTGAAGCCGGTTTTATCATTATTATTATTGGTTTCATTGTTATTATACTGTCCATAGTGAGACATACGAACGTTGCAAAGTAAACAAAATTTACGTTTCACAAGTTGTAAACAAATTTTCATAAACAAAATAAGTGTATCGATTGTTTACAAACAAACAAAAAAACAGCTGACTTGCATAGCCATCTTACCTTAGTTAAAAATGAGATAACAGCTGAATAGCCAGTTTGAGGGCATGTGACAAAGACTTTATCACCGAATTCAACCCAAGGTACTGTTAAAATTGATCTAGCGTATACCGTAGGCAGGGAAAAGTGATACTCTTCGTCATTATGCTCACCAAGTTTCAATATTACTATAGAATATCAATTACATCAAGAAGATAAACATTGGGTGTAACGTCGTTGTGTGCAGTGAAATAAGGCACAGTATATACATATATAAATATAAATATGAAAAACAAAGGTAACTTGTAGATACAGAAAAACAATCGATCTACTATACATGATTAAGAAAAATATCATCAAGGATTTTGACGTATAGTACCAGGCTTCAGCCAGTCAGTCAACTACAATGTTGGACCAGGTTTAGTAGGAAAGTGTTAGATAACAGTTAATATTAAGTATTTTAAAACAATGCGAGAACATTTCCGTAGGTAAAAGAACTGTACAACAAAACTAGCACATAATGGGATTTTCAAACTAATCTGGGAGAATATACAAAGAAAGACATGGAAATCATTTGAATTTATTGTATTTTCTAACAATATATAAGGAAGTGAAGGTTGAGGGTAAATATATCACTTATGTGTTAGAATACACATTAAAGCAATCGCTAAGTTGGACCCCACTTCATGTAACTTAGTGTTTGGTTAATCGAGTAGTATCACTATCCTACACATTTACAGTTAGACCCAAAGCCAAGTACACGAATGTGTACTAAGTAGATGAGTTAATAATAAAAATTTCAAAATACAACTTCAAAGAAAATTATTTTGTTATACCGATCTTTAAATCATGCATCATTCCGTGATGTTGTGACTGGGATTGTGAAAAGTGGAGTAGGGGCCATTTTACGAGATTGTGTTAAGGTATCAACAGAAGCTGTCAAAAATTGATATAGGTCGATTCATCAAGACTCCTTTGGTTAAGGTCCTGAAAATAGTACAACTTAATGGCTTGAGATAGCATCAAACATGGGTCATAATAGCAGTTAGTGACAATCTTATTGTCATCTTCTATTACATTTTTCAGAAAAATGAAACAAAAACAACTCTTTCTTGAGTGTATTTATAAGTGAACTCTATCTCCTTATTTATATTATACTTATTCACTTATTTTTTATAAGTACACTCCCCTTTCCTGGATAGAGGCATGTAGATAAGTGCTAACCATCAATTTTGGAGTACATAACAGTATCGTAAACTGCTCGCAATCGGGTAGATGCACTCACTCTTCTGCCTTCCTAAAATCTTGAATTTCAAAATTGTATTATGCTTGCTATTTTGTGAATTTATTCTTCCTTCTCGAATCATATTTTCTAAGCTTCAATTTTTTCTACTATCACTGATACTATAACCACTTCTACTAATATGGAATTCGTCTTGATAATTTCATTTCACTGAGCCGATGAGGTATGGAAACTTGAACCGATGGACACCAGTGGTAAATCCTACTTTACCTATGACTGATTGTAGTATAGGAATTTAAAATCATACAGCAGTATGATAAATGAAAAACAATTTTGATTAATGACGTTTAGAATTATTATCTAACTTGTAGTGTTTGTTTTTCAAAACACTAAAACAGCTTTGAACACACAAACATTTGACAAAATGAAGGTACAAACGAATGGTACAAAATGATTTATATATTGGTAACTTACAAAAATATATTTGATCGCTTCATTTTAGAAATGCTTAATATAGGACATAACAAGCAAGAGTACTCTTATTGCTTATGCACCTATAATGATACTAGTGAGAGATATTTATGAGATAAGATAGGTGTAAGCATTTCAAATTCATGATCATTACTATTTGGTTGTGTTGTGATGGGTGGTATCCAAAATCTGATATTAGTACACGATGTGCTACGCGCTAAGCTCCCCAACTGACTACTTAAGCGAGAATACAAGAGTGAGTGAGAAAGTGTATTGGACTGCTGAATAAAATGTACAAATACTCATATATATTGATCCATTTATTAGCTAATGAAATGCATCTGTCCTTTCAGTCACTTCTGATTGCCATCGATTGACCTTTTCATCAGACTACTTCTGAATGGCTCTACACATCAAGTTGAAATTAAAGTGTTTGAACTGTTTATCCTTCAGAAATGTACTTGATAAGAATAAATAAATAATATTTAAAATAAACATTATCAATGTTAAAATGTACACTTACATTTGCCTAACACTGCTGCACAAACACTCATGCCTTGGAATTTAGACTGAGTACACAATGAACCAGTCAATTTCATTTGTTTGATAGGACAAGAAAATTGAAAGACAGTAACAGATGGATGATGAGAAACTTGTTCAGCACAATATCTTATAACTACGGGTACATTGTAGTTGTTTTTTGTGGTGGTGGACATTTTACACGTATCTTTATTTATTTCTGATAAACATGATTCACTGTTTAGTTGATCTGGTGGTACAATCCAACTACAATGAAACGTCTCACCAATAATAGGATTATATGGCTTTTTGGCAATTGTATCCTTTAAAGAGAAAAAACATCATTTTAAGCAAAGATGGATAGTGGCAATGGAATTCAGGACCGTACACCATTGCTTTCAGTGAGTTCCTATCTCACAACAGACCATTCTGATAATAATAAACACCTGCTCACTAGTGACTGACTTCAGGAGACACTCCTGGAGTTCTAGTGAGAATTCGTTACCAGTGGAGTTCAACTTGGTGTACGGTGGCGCAAATTCGTGGATTAGTTGAAGTTAGACAGTAACACCGTGGATGCCGGCCGGCTCAGTGGTCTGGTTGGTTAAGCGCTTGGCGCGAGACTGATAGGTCATGGGTTCGAATATCGCGGGGTGCGGGATCGTGGATGCGCACTACTGAGGAGTCCCATACTAGGACGAAACGGCCGTCCAGTGCTTCCAGGTTTTCCATGGTGGTCTAGCTTCAATTGACTCATGATTTCAACCAGTGGAATGTCTATAAATCTCCACATAACCCATTCTGATAAAATTATATTTGTTTAAATAACAAAGAAAATTTATATATATATATATATATATATATATATATATATATATATATATATATATATATATATATGTATATATACAAATAAAATATGAACAAACCAGATGTCCAGAATGAAATGTAGTAAGATACCATTGAATAAATGCTATCATACGCCATTCAGGATCTACATAGTCAGTAATGCTGTAAAATAAAATAAACATATATAATAGAGAAATAGTAAATTCATTATAAATGATATTTATTTATACCCTAGTAATCTGAAAGAGTTAACAGAATAATAAAAACTCACAAATCTACTTTTTTTTAGAGTTTAATTGAAGTGATTCATGAAAACAAGCATCTATTGAATATTAGATGGATAATCTTTCTATAGTGTGCGATTTATAAAACCACCTAATGTAGTATATACAGTAAATATCCTATTTAAAATGGATTTTGTTATATTTTATGACACTACTACATATGAGGATGGTACATTTGAATGTAGTAAAAGGAACAAGTTATATTACATGGAATTTGAATTTTATCTTCTGGACGTCGAAATAGAGAGGAAATCTACAATATACTGAGCTGAATTTATGAATTAAACTATATGATATCCAACTAATTTATTTTCCTGTTAAATTAGATCAAAAATATTTTGAATCATAAGTATCAACTTCATTATAAACATAATAAAGGAGTATGGAAGAGTCAAAGTATGAATATGTAATGAAACAACAGAATAAAAAAGACTAATGATTAATGGATAGCGTGAATTCATGCTCATATAGAATATGACACTATTAATAATCTAGATTATTGCAAACTTAGGTGTATATGCAGAGCAATGCAATGTAAAAATGATCAACTTATTGATTGAAATTAAGAAATTAATAGATATATGAATGAACATGAAAATATATAAAATGCAAAAATCAACAAAGGCGAGACAGAGGATAAGTAAAAAGAGGTGTTTTTCTTCTCAGATGATGAGAGAAGAAATTAGCTAATAAGTCAGTTAGTCAGTCATGCCCAAGCTAAAATCTGGCATATATGTCATCAGTTCAAATTCCCACGACATATTAGTACAGTGATATGTAATTACTACGACAAATGTCAGAGAATTGGGATGAGGAAATCATAATTCTCTGAAATAATACTACTTGTAACTGGATAGTTGTACGAAATAAATCTAATTTGAATAACAGATATGATACTGTAGTGAACAAGAACACCAGTGGGGACAAGTAAATGTATTTGACAGGAAATTACAGAACTTGTTAATAAAATCTAACAACCATATGGTAAATGCTTAATTTGCAAAATCACCATCAATTGTCTCGAAATGACTCAGACTTCATTGTTCTTGCATTTTCATACAAATTGCATCCTGTTTCCATTCTTTACCGTTCGATTCTCTTGTCTCTCCGCTGCCAGATTTTCTGTTCCTGACTAACGTCATATAATAATTATGTCGATATAGGTAGCACACACCACACTGTCCCCCCTTAAAGCATTCGTTCTAGCGTTGGTTCATGCCCGCCGTGCCACATTCTTTTTTTCTGCAGTCTGTGCTACGCCCTCCGTCAAAATATCAAGTCTGAGGCACGCTGACCTTCATAGCTCGTCGACCTGCTGGAGCACCAGCGTCCGAGATCCAGCTGGCACCTGGGACGTTTAACACCCGTACCCCACCGGCCTGTTGAGTCATCTACACCCGATGTCCGCCCAGCAGCCGCACGTCCCACCGCTCCTCTCGGTCGACAGCACCTGCTACAGCCAACGCCACCTCTCCGCACCAGACTGTCCCAACCGGGATCTTAACTCCAGGCCCGCAACGGCGTCCATAGAACAGCACCCTTCCCCCTCCTGGTTGGCAGCGACACCAAATGTAGTGGACAAGAACACGAGTGGGGGACAACCGAATGTATTTGACATGAAATTACAGAGCATCTCAATAAAATCTGAGAACCAGACAGTAAATCGTTAATTTGCAAAATATCAATCCATCGTCTCAAACTTCACTGTTCCTTGGCTAATATTAGTCCATCGTCTCAGATTTGATTGTTCATGCCTTTTCATACCAATTGCGTTCCGTTTCCGTTCTTTCCTTATCGATCTTCTGCTGAAATACATTTTATGCCTGACCAACGTTATATACTACCTATATGGATATAAATAACCCACACCACAATACTAACGGATTGAAAAAAACAACCTTACACACTAGAGCTTGATATTTATTCTTAACTTAGAATAAACATTGTGAAAAATAAATTTCTTTCATGAAATAGTCTCCTAGGAACTTCAGTATGAAAAATATGATCCAGGGCATTTTCGATCTCCTTATATTTTAACTTACAGAAATACGTAAGTACCTATTTCATGCTAGTGACTAGTGGGATTAAGTCTTGTTGTGAGAAGATTGAAGCAGGGATTATCCCCGATGGCAGTGGATGGTGGACACGCAGTATCACGAATTGATTGCAGTTGAAAACATGGTTGACAGAACTATACTATACTTAACGAAATAATTGAATTTAAAATGATAGCTTTTAGATTTTTGTTCGAAATTGAATATAAAGGGAATGGATAGTTTTTAACCAGTTAAGAGTGAAGAAGCTACCAATAGTTAGTTATAATAGAAAACAGATCCAATCAAAATGTTTATGTATTTTTATCCTAGCTTATGAACTTTTCAAAGTAATTTGAACATCCGTGAGATTTAAAATCAAAGAACTGAATGTATATGCATTCATTCATATCATTTGTACAAATCATTTTTCTATTCTAATTTCCAATTCAATCTCTAATTCCACTTCAATCTTTTCCAAGTTTATTCATCGTGTAAAGTTTTAGATCCATTCTAATTTTGCCATTACATGTAATCCATTATTTATTCATACTAGTTGTATTCTGACTGACTAATAAATGGGTAAGAACTTCTTAAGGTCACTTGTAGAGTAACTCCAGAACGTCTGCAAATAACAGTTGCACAAGAGAAACTAGTGGTATCTAAAAGTAATGCGCTAAGTACAAGGTCTGAAGATTTTAGTTTCAATCCCAGATGTGGTCTTCTTTGGTGTACAATGTTGTAGAAGCCTAAACATAAAAATTGATACAGCTTTTCAATGATACCTGGTTTACAATGGTTACCTTGCTGAACTCAGTATGTATTGTGAGTTATCTAAAATAGAAGTAAATATTCATATCTTCGAATAGATACTACTAGATAAGATAGAGTGAACACATAGCCTGAAATGACCTTACTGATTAAATCAATCACATTTAAAAATCTGGCATATATAATTATTTCGATAGTGTTTAATGAAAAGGAGATGTGCACATATATACCTGCAAAACAAATTCGGATGGGCCATATAATTAGCAAACATTTCTAGCAAAGAATATTCCGCCAAAATAAACGTAGGGAAAACTACCTACATAGAAAGAAGGAAGTATATAATAACAGAAATATACATTTTATACAATACATAGTGATGAATCAAACGATCATTGAATAATGATTGATTGTCCTAGAAACAATACATATACAAAAATTAATTTAGTAAATAGATTTTATTGTAGCCAGTTTGTAATGAAGAGTACATGAAGACGATAAAAAGTTGAAACTGTTGCCATAAAATAAATATGACTCAGTTATCAATATTTTTTGCTATGGTAACTTTATTCTCATTAGTTTATCACATGACTTTTACTTTTTCCACGAGCTTAATTAAAATTTCTACTTTCTTGCTTCTTATTTGAGCTTTACTTAATCAGCTAATTAAGTTTGTGCACAAGTATTACTACTAATAATATTAGATTCTTAAACATTCATATATTTATACTATAAATAAACAACCGTTTGAACAACTTTCTATTCAAAAACTTTCACAATTATTGGTTTTCTGTTAATCCACATCAATACCGTCAAAATTAAACTAGACTACCTTAAAAATACTAATTTTGTTTAGTTAAGGCCATTTATGCTTACAATGTCGATATTAGTCTCAAAGTACTTTTTTAAAAGTGAAACATTGGATAAAGATGTTGTGAATCATCATTATCCAGTTATGTTCACCATGTAACCACAATGCTATGCTGTTCAGCGTATTGTGAGGTTTACAAATTGCTAAACGACAATCAAAGCAAACTAGTGGATCAATTCATTAAGTCTTTTACACTTTCTGTTAGATGTTCATGAGATAACTGTAATTCACGACTAGGGTAGTTATATGACATGATTCAAATAATCGATCCTCATGATACATATACATTTATGCTTTATCTTCATCCGAATATGAAATATAACGTTGCAGAACATACTTTTCATTTCATAAAAACATTAATTTTATTTGGCTTTTATTATTATTTCTTTTACTGTTATACTACTATTTTACCCCCTGGCGTAGCTGTTATACCTTGATATGGTTGTTGGGCTTGCATAGTGTGATGACCCAAATGAAATATATTAGTTGGAATACTTTTCTATTTAGGCCCAATCGTATTAGGCGGATTTGTTGGAGAGGCACAAAATTAGTGGTTCGCAGATGAAATCGTACTGTTGGCTGCACCAGGGCGTGACGGTAAGATGATATTTCCGTCAGACAACCATCATTCCCTCTTTTACAATGAAACGAGAGGGTTAGCAAATCTCGATACCAAAAATAGCACACCTCATCTTGCGCCGTGAATTCTTATCGTTAATGGCATTTAATTTTAGTAAGTAGGTGGACACTTACAAGGTCACTTAATCATTGCTCAAAGGTCGTCCATAGATTATAATCTCACCACTGATACTTATCAATCCATCTCGAGTTGTCAGTCATCAAACATAACACAGTATTTGACAAGCGAAAAAACGTGTCAACCATTTCATCTGTAAAAATTCTCAAAAGCAGTTCGAATTGCCGACAGAAAACACTCATGTACGTACACGCAAACACATGTACACATGAAGCGTCAAAATATAATTAATTTTTTCTAAAAAAAACACATCTAAACCAGAAGATGTTACAACATGATATCTATATTCAATAAAGTAAACACTCAGATATAATTTCTACTGAGTTCAGTGATGCATTATTGAATGAATTATTACTGGCATACCCATTATGGGAAGCTTCAAAAATATGCGCACCTAATAGTAACTGTCAATTAAAAGCATCATAATAATTACCATCATAGATATTTTTTAAAATAACAACACACAGTTTCAAGTTAATAAAGAACAGTCTGGAACACTAGGCAAATTACTTTTGGTATTTCAAGTGTCTACTTTGATCTATTTTGATATCGATATGAAATAATTATACAACTAACAAATGAACAAATCATAGTGTACGTTGGAATATTTCAAAAACCGACAGAAATTAAATGAAGAAAACACGGTCAGTAGATAATAAGTAAAGGTCTTTAATTTCTCAAATTTGATATTTTAAGCTTGTAATGACAGCCAGTGTAGGCATCAACACTGGGATGCCCAGGTATATATATAGCTGATGTGTCCCTAACAGGACGAGACGCAAATCCTAGATTCTCTTGCTAACCAATCACCAAATATATCCAAGTAATAGATAGACAGATAACAAAATATAATAACTAATCAAATTACAATATATCCATTTCTCACCTTAGTTAATTCCATACCAATTTTTAATTGAGAAAGTAAGTGTAAAATGACTTTTTTATTATGATCATCATTTTCGTCATCATCATTATATGAATTTATAATTTGTTTTTGTGAACTATTATTATCACTATTATTAGCAAAAGCTTCATTGTTATCATTAAGATTATCATCGATTTCATCTACATCGTTTGGTATATCTTTGTAATTAATTTGCATATCTTTTATAGGCGATGGAAATGTAGAAAGAATATTCTTCATTTCTTCTGATAGTTCAACACTACTATGAACAATGGTATAGAATAGAATAAAGACTGATAAAAACTATATTCAATGTCATATGCAATGTTATACAGAATAAAATGATAGTTAACGTAGATAGTTTATGTTATGAAAATTAATGCAAGATTATTTCGAATAATAATAATAATAATAATCACGTGGTCACTAATGAGAGTTAATTCCCAGAGTTATAGTGAGAAGGGGTGACTATTAGAGTTCAATCCAGTCAGATATGAGGCCGTTACCAACCAATGGTATTGGAAGATTGTTGGGGAGACCCAGAGTATTTATCGAAAAAAGAATATTATATTTCATGTTTGAGTTAGGGATTAGAAAAGGGAATTTACAAAATTTTGTCCTTATATGTCTAGTACTTATTACTGACCATCAAATCGATAAACCAAAAGTAGCTATGGAAGCTTTCTGCTATGTCGGAATAAATATTAAGGAGAGTTGAACTTCCGGAACGGTCATAAGTGGAATTATTGTTGATATTATACTGTATAATTCATAAATACTTAAACTATTATTGTGTGTTTTACTAACACAAGTTATTGTTAATTTATTACGGACCTGTCATTTAGTTTTTTTCCACTTATTGCATAGTTATAACTATAATGAAATCTTTTAACTGTGTTGCTGTGTAGTCACGATTTTACCCTATATTAATGTATGAAGGGTTCATAAATCCAAACTTTATGATTAGGAGTTACTTGCTTGCCTTGTTGTGTCCAATCCTGGTTATAGCGGGAGCTACAGAAACCCCAACGTATAAAAAAACTAATCTTTGTCTTCAATATAGGTCTGTACGATTTCTTTTTTTATCCTGGCCATCACCCACGTCCTAAATGTACAAACATGTTTCGCATTTTTATGCCTATATGACTGGTTTCAATAAATAACAAAGTGAATAAAGGAATTCTTATTCAACTTATTGCTAACTCACTATTATTACTTTTACTATCGATCACAGTAAATTTAGATATTAACTGTTTCAGTTGAAGGGGTTGTGTGAAGATTGGTTTAATTTGTAGGTTGTATTCGTCAAACAATGACCTCTTTTAAGGGATGATCAAAAACCGTGGGACACTTGGGAGACTTCATCTTAGTATGAAACTTTCAAGCATTAGAGTTCAGATGTGTCAAGATTGAAATATAGTTGAGATCGTGTATACACACAACTGAGTTTCATACTAGGACGAAACAGCATTTTAGTGATCCCTGGTTTTCAATGGTAACCCAACTGAGAATAGTTTGCGACGAATAAAACTATGAAAACTGTATATTAGTGTAGTGCTATGATGAGGATGTAGATGAAAAGCAACAGTAATTCACTCAATTTTTACCTTTTCAATATCTCATCAGGAGTATTTTTTTAAAATATCAAAAATGTTACAATAACACACACAAAAAAAAACACTTTAGCGTAACAAACGAAGGCAAAATATAAGCTACAAATTTCCCAATCGAGTTTGAAAAATTATTCAAAGCAAATTACTTAGCTTTCTATTATTGCTTAACTCTAGTTAGATGTGAAAGTAGGAAAATCAACAATTTTCACTCCCTCTCACCTCCTCCATCCATCTATTTATTATCAGTAAGAAACTAATTAAGCCATTTCATAATAATCATTCTAGTGTATGAACGTTAGAGGAAGATCAACATATTATTTAAAGTACTGAAATTTTTGGTGACTTTTCTAGAGCTTTAAGAAAGTTTGGGTTGCATAAACCTCTGCCCTCAGTACCTAACTCAATGGTCGACATTTCGGTTAGTTTAAGCTTAAAGAAGACACAAAACTGGTCAGACGTTTTATGAAGGATGAGTTCGTTTTGTTAGCTATAAGATTTTGAATATTACCAAATATTTTCAACATAAGTACTTGACAAATAATGAACCAATGAAACGACTCTATCAAGGTTCATTTGTAGCTATCTATTCATATATCATCCAGGACTCCGACAGCAAAATAAACTCAAAATGTTATATCCGAGCGAAGATTAAATCACGAGTAACTTCTGAGACACTAACTAATATTATCTATACATTCTTATGGTATAACTATTCAATAATTAGGTTATATATATTTATATTCCTCTTATGGTGAGTTGCGATCTGTTTGATTGATATATAAACCTCGTATGTCTGAAATAAATGATTCGATTGGATTTGCATAGTGGAGGCTGGTATTGGTGTTCTGAACTCAAGTGGACGGGCTAGGCGGACATAGGACCAATAAGGAGGCTAGGCTGCCCATACCGGTCGAACGTCACTGGTTTTGCACCGTGCTAAGGTTGTATAAGTCGTATTTTGATTAGTGGATAAATCACGTGATAAAAGCCGGACATAAAGTCATAAAAAAAAACAATTTGATAATGCAATGGGACTATGTTAAAAGAAGAGCAGCCGGGTGTCGGGCCCGTAGATTATCATGACAGTTCAGTTTAGATTTAAAAAATAAAGATGACTGTACAAATAGGGTCAGTCAGATACAAAAACCGATTACGCTGTAGGTCATTTTCCAAGTATAAGAGCATTCATCCGACATAGTGGTACATACTGTGTAAGGAGCATAGTGATACTACTCAGGTGTTCCAATTGAATTATGTGTGGTGGGGTCCGAATCTACGGAAACAAGATGATCATATTTCTTCACTATGCCAGTAGATGCAAGAACTAATATAATTTATGGACGACCTTTGAGCGGCTCCAACGTGACGTTGATGAAATTCACCCACCTACTAAGGTCTAAAGAGGATTATAGATTAGTGTGAGAAATCAGAATTTGGATTTAGAGTTAGATGTTAGTGTTACGAATTAAATTTAGGGTTTTCGTCACAAACTGACGTTAACTGTAATGCCATTTAGACATATGGATGAATGAATTTTGTGCCAAAATCCAAGACCCGCAATCTTACATTTGATTGATTCGTCCATAAATTATAGTCTCACCATAGACTTTGATAAAAAAAAGATAAACAATAGGTACACACTCCTCCATTATGGTATAAAATTTGTAAGGAAGAAATAAGAAAATTTTGACAATAAAAACAATATTAAAGATGATCATTCATCTACAATAAAGTTTTACTGAACTTTCTTTAGAATACGTAAATATAACCGTTAAATATCTTTAATAAGGCCTAGTATTCTGCTACCGTTTAGTAGCCTTGAACACTTTAGTCAACTAGCTCTCGAATTTAAACGCGACTTTTACAGAATATAAATATATTTTAGGCAAAACAGCATGTTAGTTAAATAACAAAATGTCAGGGTATGCATAAACTTTGCACATGAATATTCTAAAGACATCTCAGCTCAGCTACGGGCACTGATTTTTGGGAGTGAACCAATTAGAGCGCTTCAAAGTGATCTCTAAAACATGTTTTGATCAAATATCTGTTTTGCTAACGATAAATACGTTATTTTAAAATACGTTAACCAGTATTAGGTCTTAATTTACAGATCAAGATTACTAAGCCAGCAATTTTAGACTTTTTACTTCATAAGAACACAATTAGGTTGCCTTTTTTTAACAACAACATAATTCCTATTATGAATATTAGTGAGGTTATATTATTCTTTATTGACAATCCACATTTCAGAAAACCGATTACATTTACAAGCGTTTTGAAAAACACATATAGTTAGTAAATCAGTAGTCATGTTAAGAAAAAAGCACTACACTATAAACTAAACAAAACATACTATCAAATAAATAAACTTGACAAGATGAACGAAGTTCATAAGAAAAGACAAAAACAATCTAAACAACTGATAATCAGTCCTTTAATCTTCAAAATCACAGGTTTGATCACCTTGAATAATAATAATAATAATAATAATAATAATAATAATAATAATAATGAAACAGTATAAGATCAAAATAAAATATACCTTGAAAGGCCATTAGAAATATTCATATCATTGATTTTGTAAGTTTCAGATGAGTCAACCACAGTACTAAATACACTAGGATACAAACTTGTACTGTCTGTAGTATTTGAAATATACGATTTAGCCTGAGCGAAACAAAAAATGAATAAAGAATATGTTTTAATATCATTTCATTTTGTTAAAGACTCGTTAGTCGAATGTAGTCAATTTCATGAGGATGTCGCGAATGGGATTCAAACTCAGTAGTTTTTAGTAAATTTGGTATGTATCAAGTGATAAAATCTAGGACTCGTATCTTATGTGAGATCAGTTGGTTGGATATAGGTGCATCCCAGTGGTGATGTTCACATTGGGACTGGAACGCCAATGAACTATCCATTGAGCTAGTAGATCTAAACAGTAACTAATTAATACCAGCAGAGTTTGCTTCAAATTTAACACTTTATTGACCTACTTTTTAATGGTAATGAAAATTTATTACCACTAAAAAAAAATAATTTTTACATATTTTACTTAATTGTTACTAGAAGAAACAGTGCATTATCTGAAAATCAATAAAGAGGTATTTGGAGTATTGTATCCGTATCAGTCCTAGACGATGGAGCGATTAATTGTTAGTTAAGGTGTTCAACTTTCAACCACTAAGTCGATAGTTCAAGTCCATCTTCATTTACCTCGGTTTAAACAGACGGCTGGTATGACTACCCCTCACATATATAGTGTGATCTAAAGCTGGGTAAATAAATTTGTACACGTTGAGAATTGTATAAGTAAGTTTTAGTTCATACAACATTATATCCTATGATCAATCGTCAACTTCTGAAGTTCATAAGCTATTAAACAACTAAATAACCACTGATCGTAATGGCTCATTAAACAAACAATAATCAACTGTAATGACAATTCATCATGACTGCATTAACACACTAAGCTATCCGTCTTATATATCTTAAAAAGAATAATGAACAAAGTTAGGTATTAAACTATTTCATATGTAACTAAATTAAATCTGATAAAATATTACAGGTTGACTGAAACGATAAAACACATAAATATCTATATTCAGTCAGCTACAACGTAGGACCAGGCACATATGTGCATCGGTCCAGGTTGCCATACCGCATCAGCACAACAAGATGAACACCGGATTCATAGGAGTGGTTATGTCAAAGGTGGTAATATATAAGAGAAAGATTGCATACAGAGATATAATACAAGAAGAAAGAATTGGTTCGTAGAAAGAAAGATATGAAGCGATTTTAATCTCTTAGTTTAAGGGAAGACAGGGAGTGTATACACCGACGCCATTGTGATCGATTCTGAGCCATGTCACCAAGAGTCTCCAACCATTGGTTACGATAGTCACGCGGACCCCAACCAAGTAGTCTGCATCTACCAACATGGCTCAGACTAGAAGTTAGTGACTTCAAGCACTGATGCCACGTTTTGGTTTGGCCGCCCCTAACTTTCTTCCAACCATCCCCAATACCGGTTAGCATTGCACGTCGTGGTAATCGGTGTTCAGGCATACGTAACACGTGGCCCAACCATCTCAGTCGATGAAGATTCATAACCTCATCAACTGATTTACCATCATTCCCTAATACCCTGCGTCTAACCTCACTATTACTTACCCGGTGATCCCAGCAGACGCCAGCAATATTTCTAAGGCATCTGTGGTCAAATACTAGTAGCTTACGGGTGTCTTCTACTCTTAATGGCCATGTTTCGCTGCCGTAAATTAAAACAGAACGGACTGCCGCGCAGTATACTCGTCCTTTTATTGATAGACGGATATCTCGCCTCCGCCAAAGGTGACGTAAGTTGGCAAAAGCCAAACGAGCTTTACGAATCCGTGCTGAGATTTCGTCAGACACCAACCCATTAGGGCTGATCAGACTTCCAAGATAAGTGAAGTTGTCAACGCGTTCGACTACTTCACTCCCTATCCTTAGTTCAGGTGTTGACGCAGACCAGTCCTGAAGCAACAACTTGCATTTAGAGGGAGAGAAGCGCATCCCAAACATTCTGGCATTGTTGCTTAGTGCTACCAGAAGACTCTGCATTTTGTCAGCGTCTTCACCAAACAGGACTATGTCATCTGCGTATTCTAAGTCGATAAGTGGACCTCCTGGAAGGAGATCAATACCCGAGAATTCAGTCGACGAGAGTGTTATTTCCATCAATAGGTCTATGATGAAGTTAAACAAAAATGGAGAAAGTGGACAGCCTTGACGGACACCACTTGAGGTTGCAAAAGTAGATGACAGTTCGCCATAAGCTCTGACTCGACTAGTAGTGTTCGAGTAAAGAGCCTTCACAAGGTTTATGTACTTCTGAGGTACGCCTTTCAATGACAGACACTGCCACAGAATCTCGCGGTCTACAGAGTCAAATGCTGCTTTTAAGTCAAGAAAGACCACCATCGTCGGACGCCGATAGGTATGCCTGTGTTCTAGAACCTGACGAATGGTGAATATGTGGTCGATGCAGCCACGACCAGGTCTAAAGCCAGCTTGGTTCTCTCGTGTTTGTAGTTCACGAGTCTTAGTTAGGCGTTTAATAATTATCGAGGCCAGTATTTTAGATACTATGTTTGTTAAACTAATCCCTCTGTGGTTGTCACAGGATGATTTTGACCCTTTCTTATATATTGGGACGATAAGTGATTGCGACCAGTCAGATGGGATAACGTCTAATTCCCAGATCTTAGCTAAAATATTAGTCAACCTAATCGCTAAAATTGGACCACCATCCTTAAAGACTTCTGGAGCCAATCCATCTGGACCAGCTGCCCTTCCTCGTTTCAGATTAACTATAGCCTTTTGAACTTCAGCAAGAGTTGGGGGACCTACTTCAATGTTCCATTCACTTTGTCTGGGAATGGAGGGTAGTTGTAGAGTAGCTGAAGGCCAGCTGAACTGTTCTCTAAAATGTTCCGCCCATCGTTCTAAACGTCTGGACTGGGAGTGTCGTCTTTTTCCGAAATAATCTCACTTACACTTGACTTATTAATTCCAGTTTCTTTTATTAGTCTGTAAAGCTGTCTTGTGTTCCCTATAGTCGCCGCCTTTTCCATCTCTTTTGCTTTCGTTGCCCACCACTGCTCACGGTCGTTCCTTAGACTTTTTCTTAACCTAGATCTGATTTGTTGTCGCTCTTCATCATGTTCAGAACCTGATGGGACGAGTTTGCGAGAATCCATCAGTGCAATGGACCTTGAAGAAATCCACTGGTTCCTTGTAACTCTGTGGTTTAAGTCACTAATAGATGTCACTGCTGTTTCCACAGCTGTTTGTATGCTTTCCAAGCAACATCTGGGTCAGCCTCGTCTTCACAACTACCTAAGTGTGACCTCAGTTGTTCCTGGAACCTACTTTTGGTTTTCTCGTTACTCAACTCAGTTCTAATGGGTCTTTTTAATGTGGCTTTTTTGCGTCCAGTGAGGCGCAAGCAGATGCGTGCCCGTATTAGGGCATGGTCGGAGTCCAAGCAGGTACTCCAGAATGAGCGACAATCTTCTACCGACCCTCTCCAACGATGACTGATGGCAATATGGTCTATTTGAGTCCATCGTTGGTTTGGTGTAGGGGGTCGCCATGTTAGACGATGTCTCTCCTTATGCTTAAAATTTGTGTTTGCTAAAAATAAACGATTGTCTGAGCATAGTTGCAGCAGACGATCACCATTATCTGTTCGCTGTGTCGGAATACTAAAATATCCACCTAAATGCCTTTCTGTTTGGTTTAAACTACCTATCTGAGCATTAAAATCACCTGCTACGAGTACTATGTCTGAGCGTTTAGCTTTCTGAAGAAGTTCGGACAGCTTTCTGTAAAATTCATCTTTCACTTCATCTGAGCTGCAGTCAGTGGGAGCGTAGGCAGAAACGACAAAAAGGCAACGACGTGTGTCCCTATCCTTCCGAGTTCTTACGTAGCCGTTCAGCCGAACAGCACATAGACGACTGTTGACGGGGATCCACTCTAGCAGTGCTTGTTCGGCCCTCATGCTTAGTGCTATGCCTACACCTGCCAGTCCACGAGAACTTGCCATCGGGTCACCAGACACACGAAGGGTGTATCTCGTTGGCTCTCCGTCTTGCCGAGGTGAGGTCAAGTGAATGACCACACTGGAATCCTGTATGCGTGTTTCGGAGACACAGCATACATCAATGGAAAGAGACTCTAGGGTTTTAGCCAAGGAAGCCTGCTGACCGATTTGACATAGGGTGCGTACGTTGAAGGCTCCAATGTGTAGTTTGGAGCGAGGTTTCAGTAGACCTGGGACAGTGTTTTGCGCACTAGAATCGTTGGCTATGGTGACACTTGAGGTGGAAGCCGAGAGAGGAAATAAGAGTTGAAAGTCGATGTAGGAGGAATAATAGGAATTGAAGAGGAGGTTGATTATGAATACAGTGGTCTTGAGTGCTGTTAGAAGTATGAGGGCGGTTATCACTTCCCGGTTGCCCACACCGTGGAAGGGTTGTTCTGGAGGTACCTGAAAAGGAAATTGGATTAGAGGTGGTCTTAGTGACCTGAGAGCGTGACCGCAGTGCCCAAGGGACAACTGCTTGAGGCCGGTCGCGCACGGCCTTTTCGTGAGAGGTTTGTGACGTGTTAGCTCCGTTCTTCAAAGGGCCTTACCGCCGGAGACGGAAATCCGTGAGGTAAGGTGAGGTGTGCATTTTTAGGGTCGACCTTTTCTAACCCCACCCCTCCTTGTGGGAAGGCAGCATCGCTGTCATGCTGGTTGTCTGAAGGAAACACCTTACTGCTGTCACACCTCTGTACAGTCAGCAGTACGACTTCGCCTTCGGACCTTGGGTTTGTTGCTTTTAGTCTTACCGCTCTTCAACCGACCTGTCTGACATGGTAGGACCTTGAGGAACGGTTGTTCCAGCCAGTATAGCTCGGTTGCTTCATCACGATAGGCAAGCCCGACCACCACGTCAAGGTAGCAACAACGGTCGGGAGATATCTATATTATAAGGTTATTATTAATCTTATATAAATGAACATTATATTATGAACATTTATATTATTTCTTCTTAATGGACAAAAAGGACAAAACAAATCAGATCTATCACTAACCATTTTACCATTTTCTACTATACTTGTTATCTCTTGATGTTTGATCAATTCCATACAACGTTTTAAACAATCTAATGTTGCTTGACTTGTTGCTTTTGATAAAAGAAGATTCTGTTTGTTTTGTTTTTGTAAAGAAAAGGATAAATATTTGAGATGATAGCAAAAATTAACTTTTACAATAAAATATATATAATATATATTAAATGAATAAATCAAGGTTATTCAATAACAAATATCATTGATATTAATTCAACCATAATTGAATTCGGAGTATATTATGTAATATACCGAACTATGAAATATCTGCCCCCAAATGCCCTGGTACGGCCGAGAGTGAGGAAAGTTTGCTCTCCCTCTCGAAATGCTCTCCAGTGGCCACGCGTATATAGCCTCTGCCAGGGAAGTCCTACTCATTGACTTCTCGAGGCTGAGGTGTCGTTTACAAAATTAAGAGGACAAAAAGCGAATGTCCGGTGCTTTAACCGGGTTGGTGGATATGAAGAGTCCACACAGGGGAGTTGGAAAACCCTGATTCCAAACCAATGGTGCACATGGGATCCAGTATCCTAAAGGAACAAATGGCGTATGAACCAATCGTTGGTCACATCTTCTTACGTTGCTCACTGCCTTGTGGATCAGACCTTCAGGTCGAAGGCTCCGGGTGTGGCCCCTTAAGAAAACCACTTGCTTTGGTTTGGGCACCCGGGCAGTATCACAGCCCTCACACATATCAAATGAGACCTGTGTGGCGCATATGTATTTGGTACCTCCTTTTACCGATATCTGTGTTAAAATAAATAAATAAATATGAAATATCTAGTTATAGTTTTGAAGAAGAATGTCGAATAGTGAACTTAATTTCTAAAAAACAAACATTTTCCAATCAATTGATACTTGAGTTTGATTCAATGCAAATATTTCTCGACTGATCACCTTTTCTGCAAACTATGAACATAAGGGACTAGCTGTATTGTTTCGAACATTGTCATAGACACTGATAACATGTTCTTGAGTACGTTGTATCTGGTAGTGTTTCAATCGCTTGGAGCGTGAAGAAGCACCATCAGAAATTGTGAAAGGGCCATTTATGAAGTGATTAAGAAGCAATTATGAAGTACACCACATGTCATTAATAAGTCGATGAAGTTACTTTACGAAAAACTGCATGTCATAAAGTAGACAGCAATGAACTAGTCAACTTCAATTTTTTTTTATATTTAAAATATAAAAATCGTTCGTGTTGTCATCAAGAAATCAAACTGGGAAAATTAAGATAATGATTTGGTCGTACTGCACATTTACAAAACATTTGATATTGATATTACGTGAATCAAACTTAGCTGTACACTTTCCAAGCCACAATTACTGATTTACATTCTTGTATATACAGATAAGTTTTCTTATTATATTTATATACGGATCAATTCCATAGATTGAGCAATGTATAGTTGAAAACAATTGTTAATTTGATAAATTTGCGAAATTACACAACAACTACCTATTTAACTATAAAATACCATACTCAAGAATACAAAATTGGGTTTATTGTTGATACCATTTCAAAACGAAACAAAACGACTCTACTATGTTAAGAACTACTGTTTGCAAATATCACCCAAGCATAAATATTATTTCATTCTTTCTATTAAATGATTATTCATTTAAGAAACAGTAAACTGTTATTTATTCACCAATCCCTGACGTTTAGCGTGAATAATATATATCCTATTTATTATCTTGTCATAATGGTTTATTCATATGTTTACACATATATAACGATCATTACAAGCTCAAACGATAAGTTAAAATAACTCATGGAAATAATAAAATAGCAATCAGTGTTATCCTTGTACATTTTCATCAGGAATCACAATAACCGTGAAATAAATGTCATGTCTACGTTTTAATATCAAATAATACACATTGATTTATGTGTTTAAGTCGAGGATTTTATGGGTTTCGGAATCCTTTAAACCACCAATTTACTAAGTTAAAGTCGATCAACTTCTTGAATTAATAAAATGGTAAAAAGACTCAAATATTTTGAACTAAGAATATTGAAACCTAGGACAATATGAAGAAGTAATGTATGATAAAACGAAAACTGTATGTGCTATTATTCAGTTAGTGGGCGAATCTTGGTAAACAATATGCGCAATATAATCCCTGAACAAATGATATTGACTAGAAAGAATATATCAATTACTGATATTTTATACATGGATATATATACCAAATTAGTAAATACGAAAAATAATATGACACAAATTTGTTAAAGTATACTTTACTGATGAGCCAAATGTATGATAGCGGCTCTCTTATCACTGTGCAGGATTCAAAACATAGTAACGGACAGATTGTATTTTATTAAGCGAAAAGTAAGAAGTGGATCAGATCTACTCATAGTTAGTCAGTATGAGACACTTAAAATTAATGAGCAATAAAACAATAAGTATGAACTTGATCGGCAAGATTATAATTTATGGCCGACCTTTTAGCAACGCTAAAATGACATTAGAATGTCCACTTACTAAGGTCAAATGAAAGTTATATATTGATGTGAGGAATTACAATTCGGATTTACGTTTGAACGTTAAGGGTAGGAATTAAATTTAATATTTTCACTACGAACTGACATCAGCTATGGCGCCAAAATGGCATTTAGCCAGACGAATGAATAAACTTAGCGCCAAAATTCAAGATCTGTTATCCTAAATTTGATTGATTTATACGTGTATTCGTCAATATTAGGACAAACAGTTTGACAAAAATTGGGCGCCAAGTATACAGAAGTCATGTACATGCACATCAATGATTCGGAAATAATTTTTTCCAACCTTCAACTTGCACTTTTATTTCATTTTATTTATTCCTTCATATAAAACATATTAACACCGAACATCTTACACATACATACATATACAATTCGTTCAGTCATTTACTTTCATGTCGTGAACTTTTCACATGATTCGCATTTAACTGATTCATGTTATCCCACTTACTAAAATCAACATCCAAATATGATTGGATTAGCACAATATAGATTTGATCTGATTTGATTGTTAAACGCTATATATTTCTTTGATGATTTTGATTATTACCCTGAAGTCCAGACAAGTTTGCTGGATCAAACGTTGGGATTGTTTCAAATTTCAATCGTTGAGATTATTTCAAATATAATTTTCACATATAATGACTTTGCCTAGTTCGGTCATAAATTATAGTCTCACCTTGAAATCAAATAATCATCTGCATAATTGTTTATTAACTTGATTACAAACTAATCTCTCCAACTCTAACTATAGCTTTTGATCCTAACCCTAACATTTTTTTGGCTTCTTTGTATGTCGCTTAAATCCTGATTGATCGAAAATTGGCTTTACTTTTCCAAGATCATTTAAAAGTCGCTATAGATCGTCAGTGAAATGTACTCTTAACTGTAGACTGTTTAATTGTATCAAATACGAACAGGAGAGAAAAGTTCTATTTATGAAGAACAACTTACTTTGAATACATCTGTAATTTCTGGACTTCGAATGGAGGTTCTCTAATCGAGTAAAGAACATATACAAAAAAAATTTTAAACATCTCATTATTAAGTAAGGATAAGAGATAGAAATTGAGTAACCGGACTACGGCACGCGAAGCTCGATTTAACCTAATTACTCAAAAGGTATAAGGTATAATGGGTCACAATTTATTAAATATAAAGGCTTTACTTTTGTGTATCCAAAGTTAGATAATACAATTTTAGACAGTAGAATAGAAATTTATAACAAGTAACGAAGAAAAATCAATAATTACTGTATATTTGAAAACCTTGTTTTCAACAGTGGTCTAGCTTAAATCTACTCATGAATTCAACTATTAAAATTATTACAATCTCCACAAACTCCCATTCTGGTCATAATCATTGTAAATGTTAGCAGTATAGAGTTTTGGTTATTGCATGCTCCAGTAAAGATTATGTTGGAGGATGCTAACAGGTCTGTTTTTCTGTCAATCAGTGCTAAGGGATTGTAAAGACATTAGAATATTCCAGTGTAGATTTTATGTAGGCAATAATGTTCCTGATACATACATTTTTGCTTCGATTTTTGAAATACATTTTCGTTCTCCTTCCATTCCAGTCGAGTAAAGTAGTATGTCCAGTAGCAGATACAACAATATAGTACGTAACATACAGTGATTTGTAAAAACATAGTACAGCTCAATTTAAATTCTGTAACACTGGAGTAAGTTGGAAAAAGGGGCTAGGGTGAACAGACTAAGATATAATGTCAGTTCATGAAGTAATTGGTTGCTCACTTCAACCACGTCGCTAGGTGTAGACTTCCGGGTTTGATTTGCCCCCTCCATCAAAGGACAATATTCGTAATCAATGGTTCAAGCCATTGGGTGATATGGTGTAATATTGATCACTGTGGTACAGTTGTTACTAATTATCTAGCTTTCTCAAAACCTTAAGTCACTTGTTACTTTCATTCCTTAATCGCATTGATTTCTTTTGAATTGTATTTCTTGAGTGTTTAGAATCCACTTTTATTAGATAATATTTTCCATTCTATCTATCTTGTTTTATTGATTTTTTTTTCTTACTGTCCTGGTGACATGAAGTATGACGACAACGTAAATTGACACAAACTTGTTCAAGGTCCTAATGTTAATAATAGCTGACTGACTTTACTATCATAAATCAATACAGTACAGATGATCAGAAAGTGCTTTTACAAATATATACTAAACTTAAATTGTTTTCACTGTTTTTTATTCGAAAAAGAACGTCGGAAACAATATATATGACATACATCAACAACAGTGGAAAGTGCATGATTTTCCAACTCTAACTGACGAAATAATTCTCCAAGTTGGACTCGTGGATCAGAAGGGCGACCAGGACAGAATACAGGGAATGTACTAGCGCTTAAAAAGAAGAAAAATAGATATTTATTTCAACTATATTAAATTGTAGGCACACAAAGTAATGCTAATCACTGAATATACACCATTAAACAAAGAGAAACTTATTTACTAAAGATTAATTAATTTTCAAAGAATGATGTCTTCAGCCTTAGTTTGATATAGACTTATTATTCATTGATAAGATGGGAAAGATGTTTTACTAAATTTATACCCTCGAATCACTTGTATTGTATAGCTAAATTTATATCTCATATTTTAAACATAAGTACTATTATGATGAGCCGTGTCCGAGATCTGATACCGATATACAACTTACTACGCGCTAACCCCACTTCGGCTGGTCACATGAGCGAAACAGGTAATATCGGAAGAGGGAGCTTATTGGGTTACCGAATAACGCGCATATATATATATATATATATATATATATATATATATATATATATATATATATATATATATATATTTATAAGCATTATAAGCAAAGATGGAATCCAGGACGTATGTTTCGTGGCACTGGGGACTCGCCAGCAGGATGTACCCACATCTCCGAGTTGATGCCCTCTACGGGACTCGAACCCAGTATCGTTCGCTTTAAATACTATCACGCTACCCACCTTTGTTTATAATGCATGTGAATTAAGGCAATATCGAGGCAATATGCACAGTAGGCACATATGCCAATACGACACTGATCGATTGCAGTCCCAAACATCAATAAGAAGACTAAAGTAAACAATACCATGTAAGTATATATACACATATATTTCTACCTCTTAAAAAATCGATCGATTTCCTAGCCAATGATATGCATTTATCCTTCGGGTCGTTTCTGACTGTCATCAAGTGACCTCATTTGGCTACTTTTGATTGGCTCACTATATCAAGCATGTTATGCTTACTAGGAGAAAACCAGTTCTGTTGAGTTGAATTCTTTGTTTGGATTTCAGTTCATTATTCGGGAGAATTAGTATTGACATTAAGGTTTCGTAGACGGTTTAATCATCTGGTCCTAGAGTATCATTCCTCATTATCTAAACATCAAAATTTAGACGAAACAGTAGTCTAGTGCTTCCAGGTTTTTGATGGTGGTCTAGCTTAGATCGACTGCTAAAATAAACAAACAGTTTGAGTTGCCACATAATATATTTGATTATAAACGACGAATACATTTCTACTTATATAACAGGACTTGCGTTTCATTATGTAAGTCGATCAACAGTTTGTAGTAAATTAATTGATATTAATTTTTAACTGTAAATTAAATGAATTGGTTTTTTTGGGTCATCGATTAGCGTATATGCATATATGAAATAAATTTACCAAATATAAGTTTACGTACTTGTTAGATATTGGCGAATAAACGGAAAAGGTGGAGATTATATAACTATTCTACAGTAGATTATTATGTGTGTTCTTGTTGTTTATTTGTTAAATATTTAGTTTACAGTATTTTTATGTTGCCTTAATTGTAAGCTTACAATTAAGTTGACAACTGTTGACACATGTTCCTTTTGCGAACCTATTTCTCAGTTACCCTATATCACAAGTGACATAGTTATGCATAGATTGTGATTTTCTAATTACAGTGAATTGTCTTATAATTGATGAGTATTATTATGTGAGTTTCGAGTTATAATAAAAGAAGGCAAGTCACCTTCTATTCTTGTGTTCTGGCTGCACAAGTTGGGAGAAGAAAGAATTTACGTGAACTAACAGGAACTGGGATATCCGATCGTTGTTGGTGGTCATGGTGTTATTGATTAAGTGAAGATCATTAGTATTATTGGAGCAAAGCAAACTCCGGCAGGACTATAGTTTATGAACGAACAAATTAGATATAACCCCGAAAATGCCCTGGTACAGTCAAGGGTGGTGAGAGTCCGCTCTTCCTCTCGAAATGCTCTCCAGTGGCCACGTGTATACAACCACTGACAAGAAAGTCCTATTCACTGCCTTCCCGAGGCTAGGGTGTCGTTTATGAAATTAAGAGAACAACAAGCGAATGTCCGGTGCTTTAACCGGGTTGGTGGATATGGAGGATCTACCTAAAGGAGTTGGAAAACGCTGATTCCAAACTAATGGTGTACATGGGCTCCAGGATACTAAGGAAATAAATGGCGTATAAACCTGTAGTTGGTCACTGACTACCATAGGACTGCATCTCCTGACGTTACTCCCCTGCCTTGAGGATTAGTCCTTTAAGTCAAAGGCTCGAGGGTGTGGCCTCCTAAGAACACCACATGCTTCGGCTTGGACACCCGAGCAGTGTCACAGCCCTCACATAGATGGAATGATTTATATGGCGCATATCTATTTGGTGCCCCCTTATACCATTATTTATGTGTTTAAATAAATAATAAATAAATTAGATTGAAGATAGCAAGTTTTAGATTTTGGCGCAAAATTTGTTCATCTATATGGCTAAACAGCATTTTGATATTATAGATAAAGTGAATTTGTGATAAAAATCCTGACTTTAAATCCAAATCCTAATTCCTCACACTGGTTTATAACATACTTCTGACCGTACTAATTAGTAGTTGAAGTTTCTCAAAATTACTTTGGTATCGCTAAAAGGTTGTCGATAAATTATGGTTCTCGCCGTGCTCGGGTTTAAGTTGAACACTGTTTGAGGGCTGGTAAATGTGATCAACTTTGACCTAGAACTTAAAAATCAAGTTCTCTAGTTATTAATATTTCATTCCAAAGGAGAAGTAGACTAAATTATATCGAAAACTAACCGTAAATTTGTGAATAATTATTGAAACAATTAAACAATTGTAAGAAATTTTAAACACATACTATTTTGGTGGTTTACAGTGACACGCAAAACTTACTCTGCAATAGGAAAATTTCCATTAGTAGACTGATCACTAGTATGATTAACTTCATTTGACTGTAAATACGAACTCTTAGCTAAAAAAAATGAAGCACGGTAAAGCAAAAGATATTTCAAAATGGTTGAAAAATGACCTTGAAAAAATGTAAACTTAAGTGAATTTAATTCGAGTAACCAATATTTATCAACAAACGTTATATTCAATTAAGGGTGTAGATGACCAGTGGTTTGTGGATACGACAATTGTGAAGACAAAAAACTGAGATGTATTCAAACGAAGATGGTGTCTAAACGTATACGTATATCTGACTGTTGAGTTTGTATGTAAAATTTAGTATTAACTTAAGCTACCACTAGTAAGATAAAGACAGAAACTACAATGTACAAACTAGGATATCATCAGTGATATGTATGAGATTTTATTCATTCTATTAGCGAAATGGAATCCTGATAATTACAGGCTCTAATAACCCTCATATCAGAATACGTTGATTGTTGCATTTTTGGTCAATCAACCCTAGTGGACAAATCGAGATATTATATGCTGATGTTTTACACAAAAGTTAATGTTTTAGTGTTATATCTTTGTTGTTCAGTTTCTTTCGGAATTTAAACCGTTCACTTTCAATTCTTATTGTAATTTGTAAACGGTCAAAAGAGATATTGTGGTCAGGGAATACTAGGCAGTAAAAGAACATAACAAAATCCAAAAGCACATACAAAGAGTACTCAAATATTATGTACCATTTAGGGAGCTTATGGAAGTTATTCAATTTCACTGATTGTTCTTAGTTGGACAACCAGTGAAAACTAGGAAGCACTAGATGATTGCTTCGTCCTAGTATGGGACTCCTCAGAATTATGCACGACTCCGCAGGGGGTCAAACTCAAGAGCGTTAGAACACATGGAGAATGCTCGACACAGATTACTGAATCGGTATCCAATAGTTCACATTTCTAACTCCAGTTTATTTACTGTTGTTGCTAAGGTTGATCCAATAAAAAAGAGTGAACTTGAGAAGACAAACTCTAAAACTTACAGGAATTTGGCACTTGAGATCCGGTAGTTTGTGAATCTACATGGTTAGAGGATTCAGAAGTCCCAGATAAAGTAGCGATCTGTTAAAAGAGGCAACAAAGAATAATGTACTTTAAGTTTTAATTAAATATGAAGTGATTAAGAATGAGTAATTAGTACAAAGATAAATAATAAAAAACAGAGCCAAAATTTTGGGGAAAAAGTTGTTTTACGCCAAACTGTTTCTACGTGTTATTTTAATATGATTGATCGGTCTAATTAGTACGACCTATAATTTGTTTTAATACATCTGGATACAAAACGATGTAGGCTCAGAAAACATAAACTGATAAGGAATCTTTCCCACCCATATACGATAATAAAACACCTTAGTGGTGAATAAACTAGAAGGATGTCTACAGAAATATACATATTTATCTCGACTTAATTAATTAATGAAATTTAAGTTATCCAAAGGCAAGTATTATCCACTTCTAACACAGACTTCAGGTAAGCAATTTTTAATTATGGGAAAATTCTATAATACTATAAAAGCCAGTATTTGAAAATATCAGAATATCTGGGTGAGAGTAGCCAAACGTCTTTCAAAACTCCAAACTTAGAGTCACAAACCCAGTCGTAGCTGCTACTACAATTAATAGTAGGAGACATTTGGTAACATGGTTCAGAGCCAATTAAAATAGTGTTGACGTATTCACTCTAAATTTTTATCTAGATATTCAGTCTTTACATCCTATCTTTACAACCGTATATTTCCATTTGCCATTTTGACAAGTAAATATAAGGTCGGATTATCTGAAATGCATTGCACTTAACATATATTATGTTTTTCAAATCAAATTTACATTAGAATATGAACAAGACAATGTGTTTCGTTTCCTTGACCTTGGTATAGCAGGTCGATTGGAAAGATATATTTATCGAAAGGGAATATGGAGTGCCTTGTACTTAAACTTCAATAGCTTCTATCCAACAAGCTACACGCCAACATATGTATTATCTAAATATATGAGCAGCATATTAAAGCCACCTCAACATAACGTACATAATATAATTAAAGATTCCTATGACTTTAAATCAAAAATATCGAAATTAATTATCAAAAAGAATCAAATCACGGTAAGCTATGTTGTATCATTATGCACTAGCATTCCTATTGATAGATGCTTAGAATTTATTAGTGGTTTACTAGAGAACGACAATACTCTATCTGATAGATATCCTCTAAGCATTAGTCTAATCGTGAAGTCCCTAAAACTTAGCTTAAATTCAATGTTATTTACTTTTGATGGCACATTATATAAACAAACTAACGGAGTAGTAATGAGATACTTCGATCTGTGTCAACACAGAATTGTGTCTACAAATTACGATATGTGTGTTGTGATGCTTTGTATATTGGAGAGTCATCTCGTGAAATCTTGGCTCGAGCCAAAGAACATCTCAGGTACACAACGGAACCACCTAATAATCCTGTAGAACTGGAGAGGCTCCAAGTTAAATCGTCAATAGCGGTTTGTGCCATTTTCAACAACCATCAAATCGATATCAAAAACATAAAAATAATACAGAAAACCTTTTCCAACTACAAAGAAATGTGAGTAGCTGAAGCTTTTCATATATTGCTTAATTCTATTGCCCTCAATAGGGAAGAAGGTCCCACTATCCATCCGACTTGGGTCATCTATCCAAGCCACTATATTTGATTCTATTCACATTACACACTATTATCGTACATGTACATTAAACTCTATCCTTTCTCACCACAAATGTCACATTTCTCATCCCTTACCATACATACACACAAATAATACAGACATGCCTCACATAAATCACTTTTACCGGAATGACATGACAATGACTTGGTCGGATGTTTTTTTTATCGTACCTAATATTCTTGCCTTGTTTCTCTATACTATTTAAACTTAATTTAATTTAATCTGGTTATTTATTCTCTGAAGAAGTGGCTTATACTAAGTCACGAAACGTCAGAAAATTTAATTTTTCTACTCATCAGGATGTTTCAAGCTTTCCATGGTGGTCTAGCTTCAATTGAGTCATGATCTCAACCATTGAATTTACTGTAACATCCACATAAACCCTTCTGATATTACAAATATAATTATTTTTATCTATTGATATAGTAGTTTTAAATAATTCTATTTCTATGTCCTTAGTTGTTTATGCTAGGATATTTCCATATTTAACCTATAAATATTCACGAATACCTCTTTCATACTTATTGATCGTTTCATTAATCTTGATAGATGAGAACTTTTCCGATGTTACAAAGTACGTAAACCGATTTTTAGAGATTAATACTATTATGTTTAGGCTGCAAGTAGTTGACAAGAAACCGCAAAATACAATGAAATCATGTCATTCTGCTACATTAATTGTTCTTGTTTTACTTAAATTCAAATGCCTTATACATGAATTTTTCCAATATTGTTTAGTTGCCTGTCTATCAAATTATCCGTTAATCATTTTCCATTAGTCTATTGATGTATAAATACTTAAGACGCGCTGACTAGTTGACAATTTTAATTTCTTTCAACATTGTAGATTAAATCAGTCTAATGAAGTCCTAGGTTTATGTCATTACAATACAACTACTGGTGATACTAAGTGCCAGTGTTAAATTAAATCCAATTAAAATATAGAGATATCTAATTATAATGTTATTCCCATACTACTATTATTTCAGTGCAGTTGTATCTACTCATTCTTACCATACTTTGATTGTTTATTGCTAATGTACATGTAAGTCAATTCAACTACTTAAATGTACATTCAGGAGCATTTGTATCCCGGTTCTTACTTAATTCATTTGCATTCGGTCATCAAATATGAAGATAACGAATGTAACATTTTTAAAACAGGTAAGTTCAGTAATTGCCTAATCGATTAGCGTGAGTACAGTGGCTTAGTGGCTATGATAATCGGTCTCAAACCAGTAGGTTTCCGGTCCAAAACCAGTCACACCTACTAATGTTCGTGCGGTTGTACAGAACCGTTATCATTTATATAAACAGTGTGGTTCAAAACTAAGTAAATAAACCTGTAGTTGGTAAAGAGTTAAATTGTATTCAAATTTCAAATAACCTTTCACTAACTAAAATTTTTGTAACCAGGCAATACCACTAGAACCAGATATGAATCATATCCCAATGTACATTTCATTTATAACAATCATCGGAAACGAATCAGATAATTTTATGACATTCATCAAGTTTCTTATGCAAAAGAAGGAAAATAGGTTTTAAATGATTTATAATACTTTAGAAGTCACTAAATATTCTTACAAGAAGATATTACGGCTAAAAAGAATGATAAATATTGGAAAGAATACCAGAGTGCTTAGAGTAGTCATTTTGGAAAATATTAAGTAGAACAACACTAAATCATTCGAACAATAATTATAATAATGGTAACCGACCCAAAAGTGAAGCGTAGACTGGTTTTCCGGACCGGATGAGACATAAGCTATGTGAAAGGCAATAATCAAATGATTCCACAAATATTGATAAATAGAGCAGATCTAGAACTTGTGATTTATTGAAAGTTAGTTGCACAAACAGTAAAATAATCATGGAATAAAAAAGCCAAATCAAACAAAACACCGATTAATGCACGAGTACAATGGACGTAGATAAACATGAATTTGTCATTCATATAATTTACTTACCAATGGATGTTGTTCAGCTTTCTCTGAATGATATTCAGCAACTGCTCGAAGACGATCTACCCAATATTGTCTCTCTTTAGCATCAATCGCTAAAAAATAAGCAAAAATACAGTCATTCGATAAGCAGCCAGAAACACGAACAATCACGACAAGTCTAGTTGGAAACACACTCATTTATATATTGGTATGTACACCCATTTTTGATTAATAACCAGAATAAAATCACGTATATGAAAAATACTTAATTATAACAAATCATATGCTGAGTATAGTTCATGTTAACTTAATACAAGATTATCGTATGTTATACAGAAGAAATTATCATACGGGAAAACAAAACGAATACTACATTGAGTAATCAATACATTGAATTAAGAAGACGGAATTAATGTTGAATAAAAGTCATAATGAATAAATCAATCTAATTTTAACTTTTCTTCCTGTCATATCAGAAATGAACATTAATTCTTCAAAACACAAATAGATGTCTCTGTTACTGAGTTCAGTTTAAATATACATTTTTTTTGAGAAGTAAACAACACAAAAGAAATTATCCCTGAAGTTATTTATTATTCATTACAACATATAACATATCACTGTCTTATCATTTACTGATTTCACTAATGAAATCAATAATGAAGTAGTGAACATATTCGAAGCATACTCCTTTCGCGAAATTAGTGTTAACGTGAACCATTTTACAAACACACACATAGAAATATACAAGCAAACAAACAGCAAAAATATGGTATACGGACGAGCGAATCAGAATCAAGAAAACTAGATTCAAAGATTAGTAACTTTTGCCTCGTTGTATAAAACTGCCAAGAAAAATATCTTCGGACAATGATCATAACGTGATTATCATAACCAACAGAGACATTGAATGACATGGCACAAAATTGTCTGCAATGGCGCAGGTGTATCTATTCTTTGTCTTTACCCAAATTCTGAGCTTCTGAATTCCTCATAACCCTTTTTGTGTTTTCATTTCATTAATTTACATTTTCTTCTCAGATCGTATCTTCAAACCTTAATCTTTCCTACCATCACTCATAATTTTACTGCTATTCTGAGATTTGGCTTAGCAATTCTATCTCTCTATGCTAGTGGGTCATAGCAATTTGAACCAATGTACATACATTACCAGGTTCTATGTTTTAACTGACTGGATGACTGGTCATAACGTTTAAACTTATTAAGAAGTTATTTTCTGTTATCATAAAGCGAAAATGATTATGTTAAACAAATCACATGCTTTTTTTTCCACATAGACTTTTTCTAACACGTGAATCAACCAGTTTTTGTTCAAAGTTATTTTGTTTATAGTAAACTCGTAAGGAAATCATTTTACTAGTGGTTTACTAGATAATAGGTGAGCTGGTGAAGTGGGAATGCCAAAATAGTTAATAAATCCTTCATTTCGATACGACAGCAGCCAGGTTTTTCCCATGATTACGCCTTAGTAACTCCTCAGCTAACTTAGCAGTAAAGATTTTGTAGATGATGATGAATTTTCAATGAAACTGTTTGTGGCTATGAGAAGGATTCATAGAAAAAATTGTTGGGGTGAATAAACTCTCATTCAGATTAACGTTTTTACGCAGCGATATTTTTTACAAAATTAGGGTCGGGAAACTGATAATAAACCTTGAAAACCATTACGCTCAAACAGGTTTCATTATTTCTGTTGCGAAATACTTTGATTTATACAAACCCTCTGCTTATCGATTGAAAAATCACATAGTTACTTGGAATCGCCCAAGCTATTCCCTATACCCAACTTTTGCCGAAAACAATTATATATGAGACAAACCTTTCAGTTTTAATAAATCACCATTTGCGGCGTTAATAAAAAAGGTTTGTGAATCTTCATCTGAAGGACAAATGGAGGCATACTGAAAATTGTAGAAAAATAAGAAGGTAATTTTAGTGTTAACGAAGATAAGAACGAAAAGTTTATATAGTACGAAGGCACTTTAAATGTGGCCGTAGACAGTAAAATGCACGTACAACCCCTTTTTAGTTCTAATAAGCAACTCTCATTAAAAAACACTATCTGGTATAAGACCCAATGAGTTACGAAAGATGGAACTTATCAAAGAAAATTGTATTCCGCTATATCGCGAAATGGACAAGATAACTCTCCGTATCATGTATCTCTTAAATGACTGACTGAACTCTTACAATCGGTTAGATTTACCAGTTCTGCTGTATTTTCAAAACACCTACCCCATGAATACCAATTCGTGGCAAACTATATAAGAGCCTATATGACTTTAGGACATTTTTACTGTGTTTCCAAGAATGGAACATCGGATACGAGTTTTGATTCATTTTGAGACATATCGATAAAACAGCATTGAATAGTAAAATAACAGCCCTTACAAATTTGTAATACTGTTACCATCATTATGATTACTTAATTCATAAACATGTATTTTAACTCTATTCACTACAACAACCCAAATGTTATCCTACATGTAGTCTGATAAGAAATTTTCGAAAATACAATTTTGATTAAGTTGTGTTTTACAATCATTTGAATGAAAATATTAAAACTCTTGGGTTCAAAGGCACTTACTATAAGACTTAGGGCTCCACGGGGTTTAAGTGATCGTTTGTGATCTTCTTTCTGAAAAAGAATCATAAAATAGGTAGGAAAATATTTATATTACAAAAAGAGAAAACAGTAGTAGTGACTGATATAGAATTATTCTAACTATAATTTTAAATAATGAGAGAAATTTTTACAGAAATTCGCCAATCAATTTTGTAAGAGAAAATTTCGTTTTTATCGTTTTATATAAGATAATCAACTAACCTCATAATATTCTATCCTTCCTGAATCTGGATCTATCACAAACCAACGATACTGGTAACCTTTCATAACATTTGTAAATTTTAGCAATTGACCTTCGGTTCGTTTTCTGATTTAAATGGATGTTAAAGCCATATAAGTTATGGTGGAAAAACGATTTTAAGAAACTAACAACCAACTAATATTATGCATCAGTCGTTTCAATAATCTAATAATTATAAAAAATACTTGAAATACTGTTTTGGATGTTACAGAAAATAGACTGGATTAGGTCAATATGTCATATAAAGTTCTAGAAAAAGTCAATACAATTTTGAAGATTTTATTAATGTGAGTGTTTAAACGTCTTTGTAATAAAGCGTATAAAGATCTGTCAGTATACCTGATCTCCTGAATTCTAAAGCTATAAACCACATAGGTAAGTTTATATCAAGCAGACAACAGTTTATCAGTAAACATTATGAAACATTTGACTTGAATCCTGTAAATTAAGTTGATGAGAAATATAACATAATAAAAGCTATGGATCCATATAATATGATAGCATTTTGACTGTAACTGAGTAGTGAATTAAAGGTATTAAGGCGAGAATGAAATAGAGTATCCACTATATAAGTCAACCCGATATTCACAACACATATTTTCCCTACATTTAGCAGTCTCCCTGACGAAAGGATTTAAATTTATCTGAATTCAAACAAGAATAAAGTTGACTTTGATAATATAATTTTTTACGGCCATAAAACTTTAATCAAAATCTAGTGGGTAATCGCAGGAAAGTTGAGGTAACTATTAGTTCCATGTGATAATCAGTCAACTCACTGACACATTCTAAGACAACAGTAGACTATACCACATGATTATGTAAAGAACAGTTTGTATTGACATTATTATTCGCTGAAATAATGATACGACCTAAAGAAAAACATTAACAAAGACTACTCAAAGTTGACTCAAACTGAAATAAGCAAACATTTGACCGGAATATAAGTTAGTGTTACACAATGTGTATGTACAAAGCGGAATTTTTTTAAACAATTTTGTCACCATACCATAATCTTCCTTCCTTAGATAACAGGTGAGAAAAACCAGGACGTCTAATTCAAATTTATTTCATCAATTCAAGTTTTTGAAACGAGGGTTTTTATCTGATTGATACTAAGCGAACGAATGCTGAAATACGAGTTGCTTTGACGTTATATTTCTGAAATGTGGATGACATTTGTAAAAGTCTAATTTTTAAATCAACCTCAAAACCACAGCAGAAAAGACTTTTCTCTTTAATGCGATTCCAATGATTAAAGTTTTCGAACTTAAAATGATGAGCTAGAACGTAGCAGAAGTTACTGACTGACTGACTGACTAGCAAAAGTAGATGACATGTGCTCTTATGGAGTTTAAGAGAAAATTAATTAGCAAACTAGCACTCTCAAATTATTTAGAGTTGTTCCATTTCTGCTAGCTTATGACGAAAACTGTCTTAAATATTAACTAAGTATGGTAAGGACTCACCTTAAGTGATTCTTTTCTTCGTCAGTTTGTAGTTCCTGTAAAAGAATGGGGAAGAATACATATGTACAGATGACTTGGTTAATTACACAGCCCACTGCTATTCCTGTCAATGAAATGTAAAAAACTAAATTGTATGAGACAAGTAAAAGAACCGAATTAATGGTAAATTAGCTTGCGAAAAAGAATCTGCAAGTAAAAGTGACGAGATTATAGTTTGTGGACGAGCCAATCAGATACAAGATAATACATCTCGGATTTTGACTCGAAGTTCAATCATCCATTTGGTTAAATAGAGTTTCGGCATTGTAGCTGATGTCAAGTGATGAAAACCCTAAATCTATTTCTTAACCTTAACCATCAACTGTAAATCATAATTCTGATTTCCCAAGCTAGTTTATTACCCTCATTTGGGCGTAGTTATTAGGCGGATACTCTCAAGGTCAATCTAGCTTCGCTCAAACGCCGTCCATAAATTATAGTCTCACCGTAAAAGTTTACAGATCATAAGCGCTTCAGTTAGATAAATTCAGATCACAACATTAAAGTGAATTACTCCACATAGATTAATTCGCAAGAAAATGTATGAATTATTAGACTATTGACATCAAAGTGATAAGAACTGGTGAATGTGGCAAAGAACTAACAACACTGCCTCAGTTACATTTGCTCTTTACCATAATTAATAGATGGTCACTTACGTATACTCTGCATGTTTTTTTCTTCGAGCAAAAAAATAGAATTTGTCTTGTATCAAGTATTTTTAGTAAACAAATATATATATATATATATATATATATATATATATATATATATATATATATATATATATAACTGCAAAATGTGTTTACCTTAGCACGCTTTATTAACTTGAAAATATTTTCTCGATCTTTCCCATTCATTGTGTAAGCCGCAGAATGGAGAAATAGATCAGAAGCAATCTTAAAAAGCCGAGTGTTTTAGTATGAAGAAAATGAAGTTACCTAAAAACGATAAAAACGAAATAAAGATAAACAACTCCAATAATCTCACATCGACTACTGGTGTTCTGCTTCAATCAAAGACAACAATGAAGCACATATGAGTACACATTAGCTTATTTTTATAATAACATATTGCTAACCACTTAAAGCAATCATAAGTGCTCATGACATGAAATATTCAACCGGACAACGAAAGCTCAATGTCTAAATATGGATTAGCTACTTATTGTTATAAATCGGTATGACTATAGCTAATCTCGAAGACAGTGTTATACCAGAATTTACCAAGGAGCACATTACAGTTCTGATAACTAGTGAAGTTATGTTCAAAACCATGGTGCATGGGACCCAATTTTTAGAACGTCTACAAATCTGCAAACGAAAATATATTTACAGGTACTTAAATGCTTCAAGAACAAATCTCGGCACAAAACAGACGTCAACAACGCGGATTTAACAAACTGATTTCAAAATTAAAACCTGAACACCATAAGCTCTATTTAACCAAAGGATAAATGCGTACTACGAAACGGCTTCAGTAGTGTTTCTTTATATTATATTATATAATATATATATATATAATAGACGAGCAATGTCAGACAAAATGACGAAACAACATACAGGAAAGATAAGAGAGAGGCGTATATCCAACCACTTACTACACAAGCTATACCATTGCGAGATCCTAGTGGTCAGGAACTTTTATTGAAGCATGCGGTTGAAAGTAGACATTAGTAAATTCCATAGTATATTCAAAGTCAAAAAACCTGAGAAACGAGTAGAAATAGATATAATGGAGTGATAAGACTTATTAAGTTAAACAACAAAATTTATAACAAATATATCAGGTGGTCAGACAATTATTATTGAATTGATACAGAAGTTATTATTCTTTTAAGTAGGGATGATAACGTTTGATTGTCATGGATTAAGAAAACAGACGCAGTATACGCACTTAAAGACAGTTTCACCTAACCTCACTCCAGACTGAATAAGATTTGAGATAATTGTTTACGTAAAAGTCGACTTACTGTAACGCACAACTTGAATATACCTCTTCTTACAACCACAAACAATTGAAACGTTCAGTCTTCAGTTGTAAGGATAAGCGCTCTATAGACTTATAATAATCCGTGAAACTCGTCACACTGTGGAGACCCGACCTTGCTTTGAATGTATCAACATAAGATGCTGATATCACTTGTTCCGGCAGAGAATTCTAATAATTCACTACTCGGTGCGGGAAACGGAAATCCAGACGTAAACGATTTGATCTCGGTTTTTTGACTTTCTCAGAATGTCCTCTCAGGCGATCGGTATTAAATAGAGGGAAGTGATAGGACATAATAATACTAAGGTCATCGTTCAGTAAATGACAAGCCAATATTAAACCAACCTGCGATGTGATAACCGAAATAAGTCGAGGTGTCAGAGAGGCCTTTTGTCATTTTTTACCCATCCTTTGGACTCGTTCTAGCGTATCTGGCCCATACTTAAAAAAAGTAGTCTTAAATTGAATCCCATATCCCAAATGCAGCCTCATGAAGGTCGAGTATTATACCTTAAAGATTTCTTCGTTCAAGTACTGAAAAGACTTACGAATATCCCATAAAACACTAAAATCTTTGTTAGGAGCAGTAATAAAGTTGCTCGCAGTTTTTAGGTCGCTGATTATTATGAGTTCTAGATTTTTTGTAGTCCTTCGCTTCAAGTGATAGCTTCACATATTGTGTAATGATACGAACCGTCATAGTTGTTTCATTGCTTCAATACACTACTGTCGGAGTTTAATTCTAGTGGCCACCTGCACATCTATGGAAACGGTGAATTGAGATCGTCCTGTAATATTATTTTACCTGACATACTGTGTATGAGTCTCGAAGTTTTAGTTTCATCGGCGAGGAGTAGAACGGATAATTTTGCCACAGTTGGTGATTCACTTACATAAAGTAAAAAAAAGAAGACGACCAAGGATTGTACCTCGTGGAACTTCACTTTCTACGGACTCACACACTAAGAGAGATACATTCAACCTTATCAGCCGTCTCATATCATTGAGCAAGTCACTTGTCCAAGCTCTGATTTCATAATGGATTCCTAAATTTTCCAGTTTTAATTTAAGACCCAAGTGAGAGACATTGTCAAAAGCGTTGCTTAGGTTTATAATGATCACATATGTAGTAGTATTTCTGTTTTTGCTGCGACTCAATCTACTCTTTCAATGGACATATTTGCCAAGCATGATAGACCTTTCCGAAAACTATGTTGTTCCCTGGATAAAAATTTGTGCTCTTCTAATCGTTTATAATAGCCGTCCGAGTAGTCATTTCCATTATTTCGACGATTACACTGGTCAAACTAACTAGTCGATAGTTACTGATTTTCTAACCTCACTCTATATACCAGATTGATTATTTAGTCTTTCCAGTGTCTTGGTAGTCTGCACTAACACAATGACAAATCAAACAGTATAGGTTCAGCAAATAGTTCCGACAGGGCTTTCATAACCTTAAGATAAATGTTGTCATGACAGCTGAACTTGTCCGGCTTGAGATGCTGAAGTAATCTAATGACAGTTCCTTTCTCAATAACTAAAGGAGCCATCAAAAAGCTGCCCTAATCACGAAGAATTGTTGGTCGTTCCTCGTTACCGGTAAAGACACTTTACTAGAATATTCTGATAAGTCTTTAGTTTTTTCGACATCATCTCTTACCAAAAATGATGGGATTATATAATTTTTCTGAGTTTACCTCTTTATATGCGTGATCTTTATTGTTTTAAGACTTTAAATATGAAAATATTCCAATGCTTTTCACCACGTCTAAGAAGTTTCTTGAATTATTTATTTACCTACAGTGGACAGTTATTTGGTCCACGTGGTATTAAGTAAGGTGTAAACGAGGACATAACTGAACCGAACTTACCTTTAAACATAGGCCATATCTTTTCAAATGATGAACAATTATCTACTGACCAGTCTGTTTTTGCGGCGCACTACTCAATGTTTGATATCTTCGCTCCCCATACCTTTGTGTAAAGTTTAGTTCAATCGTATGTTGCGTAACAAACTCTATGCGTGAGTGACAAACAGCATGACCGCTGTTTGCTAACGATGGGAGAATATTTAAATTGGTAATATTCTCAGTCGCATAAATAGCCACTAAGTCTAACAACGAACGCACTGTTTCCATGGAGAAAAGTTCAAACTTTCTCAAGTGAAAATGGCAAACTTGATCTCAAATAAGGTACGTGTTTGAATATGAATGATACAAATACATTTTAAAGGGATTCAAAGTGTATGGACTAATTATTTGAAGGTCTTAAAGAAGGGGATAGTATCTTTTGTAGATCGAATGATCGCAAACTAATTTCCGAGTAGTCTTGGTGATCGGATTAGCATTATTCCTCATGGAAGATGAAATAACAAGTTAAAGACCATGAAAACACGGATTTTCCCAGTCTTCATATTAGCTGTTGAGTATTCGACCTGAAATATTACCCTCTTTTGATCTGTTTGAATAAATAAATTGAAATTTTATACACAAAGCAGAAGAGTGTTTATTTTTGTAGATCCGCATCTAGAGTACTAGGAGTGGTTAAACTTTTAATGATTCGGACGAAACTTTAAACGCCTTGGTAAGAAATAAAAATAAACTCAGACATTCCTTCATCTCATGTTCTCAATTCAAGCAACTGCTTCATGTGTTGAAGTACTTATTCAACCAATGTTGTCACTTTGTTGGCAGATTATAGTCAAGTTATTCTTAAAAACACGTGCTAATAGATCTGAAGACCACGTGACTGCATTCCGAAAATATGAGTTGGATATGAAACGTCCAAACAGAAACCGCTCTTCAGGAATGTTTGCTCTTAATTTAAGGAATTATTAAGTACAGGGTGAATGTAATTAATCGTGAGCTGGATGTTTTGTAGATTACTTAGGAGATTGCGAGTTTAGCGGTAAAAAATTCTCGAAAACAAACAGTCTGTAAGCGATAGAAATCAAAGCCGACCATTTCAACTTTATAGAACGCAGAGGAGAAGGCGAGCAATTAGAAAACCGCAATAGATCACGCTTCAGTTGATCGTTGAAGATTATTCGTCCTATTAGGAAAAGTCTTCATTTTGTTTTCCCTGTTACTTTTGCTCATAATTCAGGAATAACGTCTTATTCAATCATCACCTACTTCCTCGGCTGTTCTCAGAACACTTCTATAAAAAAATCCCTGATGTCGGCATCATTTAGTCATGTCGTATCAGTTTCCTATTCACTATGTCGTACTTTCAGAAGTAGAGTGCAGTTGATTGCATAGTATCAGTGTCGAAATAACGGTATAGCTCTTTGAACAAGCGAGTTGTTGTTCATCGCTTGATGTGAGGCTTCATGTTTGAAAGGCAGCAACTAATTTGTTCAAATAGGATTTTTTAAATTGTTACGCATGAAATGTATACGTTTCAACTAGCAAATGAAGTACGTAGTGGAGCAATGACGAAAGCGTTACATTTGTCGATCCAAACTGAGTGAGATCAACACATGCAGCAGATTGGTCGTAAGCTATGTCTATTTTTATATTCTTAATTCAACATATGACTACTCCTGATAAAATTGCTTTTATTATGTATACTGAACTAAACGAGCAAAACAGCTTCACCGCTAAGTTACGGTGCAGCAGGCTTGGGAGTAATCCAGTAAGATATGAGCATATAAATCTTATTAACTCGGTAGGGTGTGATTCAGTAACATAAGTAGGTTGATTATATGGATGGCACTTAAGACCTTCATTTAAAGGATCCCGGAAATTTACTTACTGTTAACCTTTAAAATATCATTAAGTTCCACGATAGTGTTCTTGATGTTGTGTCGCGCTTCACTATGATCATCACTACAGGAAGACTACGTGCCAGTTACCAGGTTAGGCCTCCTCGTAGGCCAAATATCAGAAGGCGGTTGAAGGCTGTAGTTAATATGTATGTGTCGGCGATCACGTGGTATCGAAATAATACCGAGATCGTGCCAAAATGTACAAGAGAGACTATTGAGTGTACGAAAGTTCGTACAAGGTCACAAAACGGAAGTGTTTTCGGTACACTCAAACAAGCAGGTACCGTAAACCAACCACTGGTATAGCTAGTTATAATAATAACTATGATAATAATTGTTTCCATTATACTAATCGCGCTTTCTTTATAAAGGTAGGTTGCTACAATAGCATCAAACATTTTTCTATTTTTTTCGTCATTTCTGAAAACCGCATTCTGAAACGTGAAGATATTCTTACGTAATCTAACAGGTTGCTCGTCAGTAAATTAAAATCGACAGTGCTGTATGCGAACCCAAAAAAAATCTTTTAATAATACACCAGTTGCGTCTTTCTTCATAGGTAGAATAGCCGTAGAAATGTTTGTAACGGAACAGTAAAGAGTAAAGTTGGAAGTCGAAGCATTTTTAAAATTCTCGCACTCGCTTCTTTAGTTGGCTTACCTGTTTCAAGTGAAAAAAATTTTCTGAAGACATGTTTAGAATAATAACACTCAGAGTGACAGTCACGATGTCAGTCGACAACACTAGCGGACATTCTATGTTTAGTGTACATAACCGGGCCTAGACTTTGATGGACATTGACTATAATTCATTACCTTTAGATCCTACAGGTAAAGAAACTTAATCAGAAATGTGCTTCGATAAACAACCAAGGACTTCTATCAATAGCTTGGAACCATATAGAAAGTAGGAGTGGCTCTTCACTAGCTACTCTTGACACTTTTCAAAACACACATCATCACGTACCTTAAAACCAGTGAACTTGCTGTCTATCACCCATCGCTTCCAGATAGAGGATATTTGACCAAGCGTTCGCCGCCGAAAAGTAACATGAGGTTTACAAGAGTTGTATTGTAACTAGCTGACGCAATAACACCACGACAAGTTATAGGTAGAAAACACTAAAAAAGGGTAGAAATTTTATTTGACTACACATTACAAAAAGTAAAAAGACGAATACCTAATAAATTATCCAGAAGGTGCAAATACATGCATATTAGTCCATGGATCCCAAAAACTCCACCAACTATTACAAAGCCGGATGTTAGATATTCTAGATGGTTTTATGGCAAATTTTTT